GATATGACTTCAGCTGTAACATGTGTTTACAGAACTCACCTGCTTAAAGGTGCAGTATGTAAGAATATAATGAGAAAATTAGGGTTGAGCCGGATACTCATTTCAGACGAGTATCCGGTACGGATAAAGCATTTTTGACGAATACGAGCATGAAACGAGTAAACCTCGTAAATATCTGTAATCATGCTGAAGGAAAATCCTCATTTGGTAACTGACTGTCTTCACGCTCTGTGATTGGCCAGTCACATAGAGCGCCCGCCCCTCCCTACACACAAAACTCTGTAGCCGGCCGGGAGCGCAGCCCGTCCGCCTCATCCACGCACACACACACAGACAGTAACGGATCTCGCTGTGATTGCTTCACTGTTGCTCACGTTTCTTTAGTTTTCCCTAGGTTTTCTTCAGCTCGCCTCTTTTTTGGTTGAATATTTAAAGTAACTTTTTTCGTAACTTACTGTACATGGTACATTTGACAAGACAGAGCTGACGTGCTGCATCAGTCACTCACTACCTCCGCTCCGGTCGGGTTTTTTATTTTTTTTAACTCCATCTCTCTCCCTCTCTCCCTCTCTATCTCTCTCAGACACACACACCTTAATCAACATTGTTTTGTTTAACTTTGTGTGGCAAAATGCCAAGAACGTTAAGAAAAAAATCAGTTTAATCAAATTAAAATAAAAAATATATATAAAGTTGTGTCTGGTTCTAGCATTTCATATTTCCTAGTTCCTACTGCATGAGTTCAGATGTATTAATCCATGCACTTAAATATTAATGTTCTGATTTTATTGAAACACTTGTTCTGTAATAGTTTCTTTACTATTGTGATCAAAAATATTTAATATCAATTCTGAGGCTGCTCTGTAAATAGTTTTCAAATAAACAATACACATATCAACTTCCGATCAATCCATATCAATTTCAGACTTAAAATATTATATTCATGTAAACCACACCCACTTCTGGTTAAACCACGCCCACGTCTGGGTTATGCCACGCCCATTCCGAGTACAGATACAGATACAGATAGTGGTGTACTCGCTCATCCCTAGAGAAAATCCCAAAAGAATCTAGTTTCAGTCATTTTGGAAGCATGGTTATACTGAAACATTTCATATCTGGCTGGCTGTGGGGATTGTCAGTTTTTCTCCATTCAAAACAAAGGAAGGGGGCGCTACTGTTTACCATCAGTGAGCGTGGGGGTGCCATGTCTCCCGCCAGCTAATACTGCAGTGCCTATAATTGTAATTTGACGACGGCCAGAAAAAACTCCAGAGTTGTTAAAAGTAGTTGCAGTAACCATATTTTACCACAGGATTTCATTGTTACTTCATTTCTACATAATGCACCTTTAAAGCAGAATTTTGCAGGTGAGTGGTGTGGCGATGTTGCTTAAGAATATCATATATATACTGTCACACCACCATATTTGGTTGGTTGTGTCACTCTACTTCATAAATTAAATAATTCCATTTACTGATTAAGTTGTACTGTTACGTTGTTTGAGGGACTGAGGGTAAAAGAAATTTAGCATCCTCTAGCATGTTAGCTAGATGTTTCCTGCAGCAGTGATTGGCCAAACATTATCCGGTTCTCCCTCATAACCAGATTGGCTGCATTTCAAGGGTGATATTTCCAATGTCTAAAGAGTTCATGAGGATTTGCTCACTTCTGGTGCCCGCCCCTAGTGGACAAGGGTGGGACTGCAATTTTTGTCACTTCCGTGTTGGGAGCAGATCTGGATTCGTGGGATGACCCCTTGGTCACACCAGCTGGAAAAGCTAAATGCTCTGTACTGGGATGTTTAATGGGCCATTCCCATCTGTACCGGATCGGCCCGGGCCGGGTAGCGTAGGTTGTTTACATATCTGGGTGGCCTGGTATTTTTCCGGGCCAACCAAGGCTCATTCTCAGCCCTCTTCTCGAGGGGGTCTGCTTCAGGCCGACCAGGGCCAACACACCCACTGCTGACAGCAAATTCACACCTTCCATTAGAGCAAGCCTCTGATTGGTGGGTAGAATCAGCCCACATGGGCTTAAGACAAGGATGTGTGGAATCAACCGGGCCAGGCTGGGGCCGACTGGGGTTACCCGGCCCGGGCCGACCCGGTACAGATGGGAATGGCCCATTAGTGTGGGCAGTTTTAGGGGAAGAGCTGGTTCTATTAGTGCTGTGGGATTGTTACCCTGTGCCATATTTAAAGGTTTTGTTGTTGTGAACCAGCAGTCTTGTGGTGCATGAAGGTTCTGACAAGGACATGATTTCTGAATCAGCAAACCCTTTTTTAAATTACAGATGGAACAAAGTGAAGCTACCTGTAGTCGCTATGAAGATGATCTTGTCACTAAAGAGCGGTGACTTATATTTTTCTGCTCCATCACAAAGAGCCTCCAGCCGAAGGAGGAGGAGGAGTGCGTAGGCTCATTGGAGCCCGAACTCCCCAAAAGAACCGGACTCTGGAGTGTAAAGTCCAACTGATGCAGGGAAGAAACTGGAGGCTCAAATGTTAATGGCTTGCAGCTACCCCAGGAGGTCATAACGCACTTTAGAGGCCTAGCTGCTTCATGGGTGCTGTTTAGAGGCGTTTCAGTTGGAGACATTTACTCAGCTGCTAGCCGGACTACACCCCACACTTTGTGACCCCTTTGGTGGCTCATTCGGTTCTTTCTTCTGGGTCTGATTTCAATCAATCAATCAATCAATCAATCAATCAAGTTTTATTTGAGTAGCACTTTCCACCACCCTCAAAGGGGGGCTAAAGCACTGTACAAGAAAGCAATAAAGATAAAAGTAGCAAATCATACAAATATTAAAAACAAAATAAGACCATAGACATTTGTGAGAATAAAATGCCAATGAGAAAATTTAGATAAAAGAAAATTAATATTAATTAGTTAAAGGAAAGCTAAGAACAAAAAATAAAAACCAGAAACTAAAAGCATTAGGAGAAGGCCATCCTTCCAACAGAGTACAATTTCAGTTATGCAGATGATACACAGTTGTACATCTCTGTATCTCCCGATGACGCACGACCATTGGATGCCTTTTTAATTGCATTTCGGACATTGAATCCTGGATGGCAAAAAACTTTCTCCAGCTTGACCGGGACAAAACCAAAGTTTTAGTCATCGGTCCTGAGACCCAGAGAGAGAAACTTTTACCAAAGCTACAGTCACTAACTCTTAATTCGTCTTCTCAAGTGAAGAACCTGGGTGTGATTTTTTTACTCTGAGCTAACGTTTATTCCCCACATTAGGAATATTACAAAAATTGGTTTTTATCAGCTGAAAAACATCGCCAGAGTCCGCCCCTTTCGCTCTCTGGCCGATACAGAGACGCTGCTGCACACTTTTATCACCAGTAGAAGTGATTACTGTAATGCCCTGCTATCTGGTCTTCCCAAAAAGAGTACCTCAGGCTTACAACCCCTACAAAATTCAGCAGCTCGTGTCCTGATGAAGACCAGGAGGCAGGAGCACATTACACCTGTCTTAAACAAGCTGCATTGGCTTCCTGTACGTTTCAGGATTGATTTTAAGGTTTGTTTAATGGTTTTTAAATGTCTTAATTGTCTTGGGCCTTCTTATCTCTCAGAACTGCGTCATAAATACGATGAGCAATTTCTGGTCAGCCGACCATAATGACCTTGAGGGAACATGCTTTATTAAGAGCTCTGCTAAGTAGGTGGGGGCATTGCCTTGGAAAAACTTAAACACAAAAAGCAGAATTTTAAACTGTGCCCGGTAGGAGACTGGACGCCAGTGAAGAGAAACCAGCACTGGAGAAATGCGGTCCCTTTTCCTAGTTCTAGTCAAAAACCTAGCAGCAAGTTCTGCACTAATTGCAGGCAATGCACAATAGTCTGACCCAACCCAACATAGAGGGAGTTACAATAGTCACGCCTAGAGATCTCAAATGCATGGAGTACACGCTCCAAGTGAATTCTGGAATGAATAGGCTTGAGTTTAGTAAGGCGACGTAACTGAAAAAAGCAAGACCAAACTACTGATTTGCCATTGATTCCGTTGTCAGTGCAGGTTTGATAGCTGCTCATTGTGATATGTCCCATAGTACCTTTGTTGTACCGAGCGAATCGACTGCAAGGGAACGCGATTCATGAAAGCGCTGTTCCCTGATGGAGAGAAACGAGGTACAACACAAGGCTGCCCTCTCCACGTCTTAGTTCAGTAAAGCGTGGCTATACAAGTGTAAAATGATGTGCTGCTAGGTGGTTATTGGTAGTGGGCGGGGCCACCACCTGTCACAACTGTACTTGTTGTACATGGCTTCTCCTGCAGGGAGCAGTGGTTATGTAACCTAACCTCATGAGGAGCAGAAGACTGACCCTTGCACGTGACATCATCAAAGGTTGTGCAGAAATACTTCCTGTTTGAGGCAATAAAAATATGTCGGTTTTGTTTTTGAGCAATTACATTTTTAAAACAGAAATAAATCTACAAAATTTGAATTTGTGACTTCTTTTTTTTAAACATAATAAAAAAAATTACTCCTCACTTTATTTATTGTATAACAATCAGAAAATTCCTTACACTTTGGTTTTTCTATTTGTGCTTCTAAAACGAAAATTAAAATACCAAAGAGAACGCTTAGTTAGCATACATACATTATTTTAATTTGGCTTATGTTTTTACCTTGTTTTATGTCATCTGTTATCCCATTCCTGCCACTCTTAACTACAAATGAAATAGTATCGCACCTGAGGTGGCCTAATATCTCATATTATTACCTATCTGATGAGAAAACTCATAATTATGAGATTTTTTTTATCAGAGTGGCTGGAATGGGTTTCCACATTTTCTTGCTTTTTCATAGTTTTTTGCAGTTTCTCAGGGAAAATCCTTTAAGCACTTTGTCTTGTTTTCGGTTCTACTCCCCCGCTCCTCGGCTTGGAGGCTGAGCAGCGCGCAATGTGCGCAAAAAGCTTTGGGGAGGGTGCAGTGCAGGAGCAGCACAACTCCCAAGTTCATCCAGCTGATGACGTCCCGTTAGGAAAAAATCCTGCAGAGGGACGGACTGGAGGCAACCAGCAGACGGGCTGAGCAGACAGACCGAACCAACTAGCGCCTCAAACAGCGTCAAACAGACGAAATGGGCTTTCCGACGATAGTAAACTGCCGTCGGTTGGTTTTAAAAGTGTGTTTGCTTCAGTTAATCGCTTTTCTAACAGCAAATGCTCGTCCGTCCCCTATTATCAGGTTTCCCGGAGACGACTCTCCCACTACAGACAAAGAAGTTGCTCTGGTAAGTTTGTTTTTTGGGTTTTTTCTACAGTAAACATGTGCAGCTGGGTCAGTCAGCTGTTAACGGAGAAGCACAAGAGCCAAACAATTTTCAGTTCATCCTAAAATCAGTAAACATTTCATTTTTATTTTTGTTCTTTAGCACTATCTGAACAAGTTTTACGGATGCCCACAAGACAGATGCAACCTCATGGTGCTCAAAGACACCCTGAAGAAAATGCAGAAGTTCTTTGCTTTGCAAGAAACTGGAGAGATTGATGACAAAACCGTGGAGGTCATGAAAAAACCCCGCTGTGGTGTCCCAGATGTTGCCAATTACAACTTCTTCCACAGGAAGCCCAAGTGGCAGAAGAAGGACATCACCTACAGGTCAGTAAAATGCACGTTTCCAGATGTTGATGAAGTATAAAATAAAAGAAGTAGGTCTGGATTGATGCTGAAACAGGGACTTGATGGATTCTGTGAGCAGTTGGCTCACGGGACATTGGGTCCATCAGGCTACCATACATGGCATGAACCACAGCAGTGAGACGTTTGCTAGTCTCAGGCCCTCCCAAAAGCTGCAGCTAAATCAAAGTAAATCAGATTTAGTGAAATCTTTGCTGCCTCCACCTGACCCATAAAACTCCCGCCCAGTTCCTCTCTGCCTCCACCTCCATCCAGGCATCTTGTGAACTCCAGCATTCCTGCACAGTATGTGTCATGTCCTTTGTTTTGATTCTGTTTTTAAGTTTACGCCATCTTGCATGTTGTTTATTCATGTTCAGGGGTTTTCTGTGGCTTGATCATTCCAGCTTGCCTGCCTTTGGTGTTTTTAAAGAAGACTCCAAGCCAAAAACAACAACAACTAGTTCTTATAGGCTGTTTTTAGGAGAAGAATGTGGTGTACACACACACACACACACACACACACACACACACACACACACACACACACACACACACACACACAACTGTGGTTTTGCAGCTGAAAGCTGCTTCACTGAGCGCATTCATAGATGACTCATTTTGTCCAACCTCACTTCCATGATCTTTAGTACAGATCTCCAAGTGTTGCAAACCCATTTCTCCTTCCTTGCAAAGAAACCGTCTAGATCATCTTAATGCTTCTTTTGAATTTATACTAATAATCTGGGATCATTTGCAGAATTCTGGGATACAGTCTCGATCTGGATGAAGAGGTCATAAACGACGCGTTCTTTAGAGCCTTTAAAGTTTGGAGCGACGTCACACCACTCACTTTTACCCGCATCATGGACGGAGAGGCAGACATCATGGTCAATTTTGGCCGCAATGGTATGCCATACTTGTTAAATCTGTATCAAATTAGAAAAACATGTTAAAATACAATTTAATTCTATACTATTGATAAAATTGTTTAATTTCTTAGATAAAAATGGTCAAAATTCAAACCTTTCACCTCAGAAATTGTTTATTGACATTATTAATCAGGAAACAGCAGAGCATACGTTTCCTGTCCAGTGGGCTAATAGCTAACGGCAAAGAAGCAGCGACTCAAAGCCACCCTCTTATGTTTTATGGTCTCAACGCAGCTCATTCCTGCCATTCCAGCTAAAATAAGCACTTGATATTTACTTACAGTGTTGTACATCTCTGTCTAGACATGAACAATCTCAGTGAGAATGTAGTAATTACACAGGGATACAAATAGGAAAATACTCTCAAACTAGAGAGAACAACAAGTTGTTACCAAAACAAACCGGACGTTAACATGCATGTACAGATTTAGTGAAGATGAGCATCTCTTTTGTGTTCTGCACAGAGCATGGAGATGGTTACCCTTTTGATGGAAAGGATGGACTTTTGGCTCATGCGTTTGCTCCGGGACCAGGGATTGGAGGAGACTCTCACTTTGATGATGATGAGCAGTGGACCTTGGGAGAAGGCCAAGGTTTGCAAAAACAAATAAATGGTTCTAAAATATGTTTACTATTTTTCCTACCAACTCTATTATGTACCTGTAATAATAATACCTGTTACTTTGCTGCTAGTGCGCCACAATGCCCCCAATGAGGGACATAAAGAGCTTTATTCTTCTTATTATTATTCGTTGTTGTTATTAATAACGATAATAATAAGAATATTATTATTATTATTATTATTATTATCATCATTATTATCATTACCATTATTGTCATTATCATTATCATTATTATCATTATCATTGTTGTCGTTGCTGTTAATAATGATAATAATAAGAATATTATTATTATTATTATTATCATCATTATTATCATTACCATTATTGTCATTATCATTATCATTATTATCATTATCATTATTATCATTATCATTATTATCATTGTTGTCGTTGCTGTTAATAATGATAATAATAAGAATATTATTATTATTATTATTATTATTATTATTATTATTATTATCATCATTATTATTATTATTATTTTCATTGTTGTTGTTGTTATTATTATTAATTTCTATTATTATTATTATTATTATTGTTATTATTTTGTACTGGGTCAAAAGAGGGGCTGGAAATGATCCAATCACATGAAAGATGGGTTGGAAAAATCCCTCCCACTAATTTTATAAAAAGGAGAAAATAATCACGTAGCTACCTCTGTTGTCAGCAGTTATTCAACAGTCTGTGAAAACCAGAAAGTCCACCGCTGAGCTAACGCCATCAGGTTTGTTTGCTAAACCTGATGGTATTTAAACTTCAGTTGTCCAGATTTTCTGTCACTTTTACGATGAAACATGTGGTCAGACCTAAGAAAACTAAGAAAGACCCATAGAGTTGACTGGTGCAAAAACTTGATGATTATTATTTTTTCTAATGGAGATGCAAGGTGTTAGCCCAACGGCGATGACGTATGACACTCTTGCATTCTGGAAGTTCATTAGAACAAAAAGACAATCTTAAACACAAGTAGAGATAAGCAATAATTATCAGTAACTCAACTAAAATCCAAACAGCATGACAAATGTTTTACGTAACTTTTAACTTTGGCTTGACCATAAATTATGTAAAAGTTCTGAATCTTCAGATGGACTCGGCACAACTTTTAGATCCACTGTCTTTGTGAAATCACAGGCCTGATAAGCCGAGCCCCACCCTGCTTCTTCTACTCTACAGAATTACTAAATATGAGGCTGAAACTAAACACTTCTGCTGTTTTATCTCAGTGGTGAAGGCGAAGTTTGGCAACGCCGATGGAGAGTTCTGTAAGTTCCCCTTCCTGTTTATGGGCACGGAGTACAACAGCTGCACCTCTCAGGGCCGAGACGACGGCTTCCTCTGGTGCTCCACCACCTACAACTTCGATGAGGATAGCAAATATGGCTTCTGTCCTCATGAGTGTGAGTTGGTACAGTAGGTCCAAACCCCAACCCCTCAGTGAAGAACGTGGCTCTGCTGCGGTGTTTCTTTGTACATCAAATGCATGACCTTTTTGAAACCTCTTGACCTTAAAGAGCAAGTCAACCCCTACCTGATTCTTACCCCACTCCCACTTCCTGTTTGAAAAATGCAACAAATGCTGTTGCCTAGCAGACCGAGAGGGCGGAGCCACTAACAAATACACACACACACACACACACACACACACACACACACACACACACACACACACACACACACACACACACACACACACACACACACACACACACACACACACACACACACACACACACACAGGCTCTCAACGACATTGTGACATCATATGGTACCAGCTAACGTTCTAGGGTACCTCTTAGCCAATAGCGATGGCGGATTTAAATTCAAATGCAGTGCAGAGTTTTTACCTGACAACGGCACAACACTGACAGTTTTAGGCAGAAAATTTAAATTTTAACTAAAATGCACTAAAGTGCAAAACTATTGACGACACGTGTCTGCAGCATGATTAGACACGCATTTATATAGTTTATCAGGAAAAAAAGTTGATTTGGGGGTGACTTGCTCTTTAACAATCCTGGTGTTGTATTTGATCCAAAGCAGAGACGATTGGTGACTTGATGCATGATTCCAAAAATGGAAAAAATAAAGTTTTGGGCAGAAAGAAAGTAGGCTGATCCATCTGCCAGGAAAAGGGTTGTTTATCTTCATCTGTGTTGTTTTGTATTTGGAGAGGAATTATGGAATGCTTCTTTTGCTGCCCCACTTTAGAACACAAGCTTTGTCAAACACTTTGTTTACCTGTGTTGTGTTGCTGCTCATGGCACCAACAATATCAGCTCTCTGCAACAAGTAGCTGCCACAGTCCTCATGCGCCGAGCTGTTTCAGGAGGCACGGACATGAGTGGCACCTGCTGAAGCTCAGGCTGATGAGCTTTTACCACCGCAGGTTATGGAATCATCTTCAGGGCTCTTTTACAAAACCTAACCGTTTGTTGTTTGTTTGATTGTTTCACAGTGCTTTTCACCTTGGGCGGAAACGGAGATGGTGCTCCGTGCAAATTCCCTTTCACCTTTCAGGGTGAGAAGTACGACAGCTGCACCACTGCGGGCAGGGACGACGGTTACCGCTGGTGCGCCACAACTGAGGACTACGATCGCGACAAGTCCTATGGCTTCTGCCCCGAAACTGGTAGGTGGTATGTTGTGTCATCCTTTATTCTCAACTCAACTCAACTTTATTTATAAATCGCGCCTTACAGGCAAAGAGATGCCACCAAGGCGCTACACTGATCAAATAAAAACATAAAACATTAAGTCCAGAAAATAAAACATTATATCACACGATACAGATAAAAATACAAAGAGTAAAATCGCTATAAGTAAAACAATAAAACTAGTTAGAAAGGTTAAAAGACAGGTCATAAAAATATGTTTTTAGCCTTGCCTTAAAAACCACAACAGAGGTGGAGGCCCTTATGCTGAGAGGAAGCTCGTTCCAAAGCTTAGGACCTGCCACAGCAAACGCCCTATCACCACGCGTCTTTAGGCGCGTTCTTGGGACCGAGAGGAGCATGAAGTTCTCCGAGCGGAGTGACCGTGAAGGGGTGTACGGTTGAAGTAGTGACACCAAGTAAGGAGGGGCTGAACCATTTAACGTTTTAAAAACTAGTAAAAGTATTTTAAAATGAATCCTAACATCAACGGGCAGCCAGTGAAGCGCAGCCAGGACAGGAGTAATGTGGTCAAACTTGCACCTGCCCTCTAAAAATCTGGCAGCAGCATTCTGCACCATTTGCAACCTGCCTATTGAGCCCTTGCTCTCACCGAATAGAACAGAGTTGCAGTAGTCCAATCGCACCGTAATAAAAGCATGGACCACTGTCTCAAGATCATGACGTGACAGAAATGGTTTGATCTTTGCCAGCCGACGAAGGTTATTCTTGTGCTGCAGCATTTGTTTTTATAGAATAATACCCTAGAGCACCATACCTCCTAGACATGCGGTGAAAGTCCTGCTCAGTGGAAACATCTTGAATGGAAATGCGTGCCTTTTTTTTTTACCAGTTCATAAAACTTTTTGGGTTTAGGTAGAGCAGTTAGTAGGGAGGGAGTAGGCAGACGGAGACTCTGGAGATCATTGGGGCTTTCAAGCTCTTTTTGATTTAATAACATGGCTTGTTGTCAAAAAATAAAAGACAGCCCACAGCGGCTGATGCCAGACTGGAAATGATCTGTGTTTGAAGGAAAATCAATGTGGGTGTGGACTTTCTTTCCTTTTGGTTGTGTGCCTGGTGTGGATTAGTTAGTGGTGTTGTTTGGGTCTGCCAGCTGCTACTTTCAACATTTCTTCAGCTCGTTTCACAACAGAGTCCAAAGCAAACTTTACTGGAGAGGCACCATTTGGCACCTCAACAAGTTCATAAGAAGCTGACGTTAACGGCTCATAAAACTTCTGCTGCCGCTTTCAGCGATGTCAACGGTGGGCGGTAATGCAGATGGAAGCCCCTGCGCCTTCCCTTTCACCTTCCTGGGAGACAGCTATGATTCCTGCACCTCCTCTGGACGCAGCGATGGGAAGATGTGGTGCGCCACCACCAAGAGCTACGATGACGACCGCAAGTGGGGCTTCTGTCCTGACCAAGGTACGAGACGTGTGGGCGGGTTTTATTAGCTACCAAGTACACAGAGAAGCACCTCCAATAAGCAGGAAGCCATTAGAATCCGTGCTAGCAGCGGTAGTTCGTTTGTCCGTGAATGCAGAGCGAGATGAATCATGCTCCCGCTGGTCTGGCTCTGTCTTAAGGCTACAGTTTGTTTCTGGTGGCGGCCCATGAGTTTGGTCATGCTTTGGGTTTGGAGCACTCTCAGGACCCCGGAGCACTGATGGCTCCTATTTACACGTTTACCAAAGACTTCAGACTTTCTCACGACGACGTTCAGGGCATCCAAGAGCTCTACGGTGAGAAGAACAAAAGAAAAGTGTTTTCGTCTTTAGAGCAGAGTTAAGAGTAGCAGGCGGTTATGTGTGACTTTTCCCTCCGCTCACCAACAGGAGTACCAACAGACAAGCCGGTATCTCCAACCCAGGGTCCCGTCACTCCAATGGACATCTGCAGGGAGCCGGTTATCTTTGATGCTGTTGCACAGATCAGGGGAGAAACCTTTTTCTTCAAAGACAGGTAGTTTTATGTTTTACCTGAAAAATTGCCTCAAAGAAAAATGAATGTAATGCACGTTGGTGACTTGGTTGCTTGAGTAGTTCAGAGGGATGCTGGTCACTTTTATACTGTACACACAAACAGTGATCAGATTTTTACAACCTAATTACTGTTTTGCACACCAGAGTCTGTTGCTTTAAATGGATGTGACAATCGGCAAACCATTCCTCTGCTTATGCAGTGGCAACCAAAATAGTCATCAATCATAAACACAGTCTACAATCCTGCTCTCCACTGGCGCCAGTCCTCCCAGAGCCTCACAAGTTCATGCAGAGCTTTTGGGTTGTGCACTAGAAGAGATCTCTGATGGTTTGGTCAACAGTCCGTGTAGTTTGTGCGTTTTTCTGCTGGAAGGCTAAAATGTAAACATTGATTCTTTATCATTTTGAGGTTTGCATGTCTGTGTGCCCATAAACCATAAAAACAGGTCCAGAGCAAATACGTCAGCAGACCTAAGCACCACAGGGTCCTGTTCTGTTTATCTCAAGGTGAAACCTGCGGAACACAAACCACACTGTTGCTCACAAATCCTGTTTTACTGCAGAAGTGCTTTTCACCTGGCTTATCCACACATTCACTGTGAGCAGCAGAGCAGCTCGGGAGCTCAGAGTGCTCCACAGACCATGAAGGTTTGGCCCAGTTGTCAGAAATCAAGCTGAGCTGCTATTTAATTCCCTTGAAGGAGTCAGTGGGTTGAGGATTTGGAAAGACACATAAAAAGAAAAGGTCTGCCTTTTCTCTTACTTTCTTGTGACGACGTTGACACGGAAACGCAATAAACAGATGTTTCATCTAAAACTTGCACAACAGTGAAGAGATTGCTTTGTTGCAACAGTGGTGCGTGGCTGTAAATGTCATCATTGAAACGCTCATTAGGAGGAATAATCCGTGAGGATTGTACATTTGTGGCGTGAGCAACACAACCACATGTGTGGGTAGCACATCAACAACTAAAAATACCAAAATCTGCGGGTATTCGCTTACACTGTAGATGGTGTCAGTGGCTTGTGGAAGAGCCAAACACAACCACAACAGTTTAGCTCCTCCCACTCATGCTGGTCACCAGGCTGGTAACTGGGGCAGTGATTAATGTTGCGATGATGATATTGCTTGCGAAAAATAAAAACTTCACCCAGGAACAAAAATAATCAAAAACAAAGAAATAAAAAAATCATAAAAATGAGAAAAGCAAAAGATGTGAGGAAAGGGAAAGGCGTTGTCTTCGTCCGCTTATCCGGGTCCGGGTCGCGGGGGCAGCATCCCAACTAGGGAGCTCTAGACCGTCCTCTCCCCGGCCACTTCCACCAGCTCCTCCGGCAGGACCCCAAGGCGTTCCCGGACCAGATTGGAGATGTAACCTCTCCAACGTGTCCTGGGTCGACCCGGGGGCCTCCTGCTGGCAGGACATGCCCGAAACACCTCCCCAGGGAGGCGTCCAGGAGGCATCCTGACCAGATGCCCAAACCACCTCAACTGACTCCTTTCGATCTGGAGGAGCAGCGGCTCTACTCTGAGTCCCTCCCGAATGTCCGAGCTCCTCACAAGAAACAAGAACGAGAAAAGGCGATCTGTGGATCCCGGGAAAAGCAAAAAGAACAGAGCAAAGCTAACTCAGGTGTTTGCTAACCATCTAAATTAAGTGCCGTCCGCCTCGGGGGCGGGCCTCTAACCTATGAGAACCCAACCAATTGGCCAAATGGGTGAAGAGCTCTATTTGATTTGTTCAAAAACATCATGCTTCCGTTTGATTGACAGAATGCATCATGTGTGGCAATTTATCTGTTCTTTGCGATATGCATATTGTGCATGCTGATGTCGCGATAACGATATATTTACGATATTATGGGGGGCGACGGTGGCACAGGAGTTAAGTGCTCGCCCATAATCGGAAGGTTGCAGGTTCGAGCCCCGCTCAGTCTGTCACTGTTGTTGTGTCCTGGGGCAAGACACTTAACCCACGTTGCCTGCTGGTGGTGGTCGGAGGGACTGGTGGCGCCAGTGCTCGGCAGCCTCGCCTCTGTCTGTGCACCCCAGGGCAGCTGTGGCTACATCGTAGCTCATCACCATCAGTGTGTGAATGTGTGAATGACTGATTGTGTTGTAAAGCGCCTTGGGGGGTTCCATGACTCTAGAAGGCGCTATATCAAATAGAGGCCATTTACCGTTTACCATATTGTGCATGCTGATTTCGCGATAACGATATATTTACGATATATTGTGCAGTCTGTTTGGTTGTGGGACATCTTCCAGTTTTTTGACTAGTAGTTGTTGAAGGTCGGTGTTGGTAACTCCAGCACATGCAGAATATCCAAGATGCCCAGTGGCTGTCATGTAGGTGCCAACCAGATGAACACTGCAGGCAGCAACGGGAGCTTGGAGCAAGAGGGCATGCCACCATGAGAGGATGTCAGTGCATTTGTTGGGGGAGCTGCACAAACATGAATCCGTGCTGCTCCTTCTGCAGATGCACACTCCTGACTTCTAACTTGTTGTAAAGGTGACTCAAGTGTGGTGGAAGATCCATTGTTACAACTAAAAGAACTGAGCAAACTTGCATTTTTACTTTTTGTTGTAAATTTAAAATCAGGAAAATGTCACAGCTGGATTACTTACTACCTTTATCATCTAGATTTGTTTTTGTGTTGGGCTTCTTTTTCCATGCACAGCCTTGTCAAGCTGTTTAACGCGTTAATGCACAAATAAGAAAACAAGTGATATTTTCTTGTGCACAAAATATGTCAGGGCATGGTTTAGAGGACATGCAACATGAAGTAGAGAGCCAGGGTGGCAGCCAGGAGACTTCTTATTTTAAATAAGTAAGGTCAGAACCATGTGCAACAGGTAGGAACGGAGACCGAGCCGGGTTGAAGTAGAACTGAGGAGGGGAGCGAAGACAAGGGAAACAGCTGTGATGATACTGATAACAATGGGCAGGTGTGAGTCATTAACCAGGCTCTTAGGCAGAAAAGCACAAAGACGCTGGGAGAAGCAGAACTGTAGATTAACTAAAGATACAACACTGAAAACCGAAGGTTGGTAACCAGTGGACTGAACTAAAATAAAAACAAGGAGCACAGAACTAAACCCCGGAAGAGAAAATACAAGGAGGGAGGGTGACTGAAATGATCCAATCTAAGGACACTAATAATAGAAATAATCTAAACTGGGCACAAGGTGCAGGAAAACATACGGGGCACCAGGACAGCGGGCTAGGCTGAGGAAGCAGCTAAAAGAATACAGGGGAGACAAGGCTAACAGCTAGTGGACACAAAAGGATGTTCGACACAACCAGAACCATCAAACAGTCATGGACATAACTGAGACCAATGGAAACAAATGTTACACAAGGCTAAGGATATAAACCAAAGGAGGGACTAGCAATAATAGGGATAAAAAGAAGGAGGCACCGGAAGCTGAGGAGTGGCCAGACTGAAGGGACTGTAGCTAGTGGTGAATGATGGTTTTAAGGGGACTGGACACACAAAGACAACTGGGATTGGAGAGACAAACTGGAAGGGACTGGGGAGACGGGGAGACAAGGACACAGGACATGACAAAAAAGTTTTTGTTTAAAATGTAAGCAAGCGATTCCAGACCTGCAGGTGAGTGCAGACAGAAAAGAAGGGCGGACGGTACGTGAAGTGTCCAACAACTGAAGACTCAGTCCGGGCCTCTTGAGCTGCATGGAGGTCGTGTCAGTTTTATACGCTGCAACGATTCTGCACAAGACGAGTTTTATGGCTTCACAAAAGAACACTAATTCCGTCCGGGCTCTGCGGCTGAAGCTTAGTCGACTCCTTCCTTGTGAAAGAGGAATCTGTCTCTCTGCTGAGTCAGCACACACACGATGGACGACAGATCTTAACACGGTGCAGTGAGTAATGTTTCAGCGCTCTCTGAGCTCAGCAGAAAGTGTGTCTGTCTGTCTGCAGGCTTAAAGTAAAGGCTATTATGCTGCTGAGAGGCAGCTGGCTCTGCCCACCTATTGGATTCACAGCCAGTCGCAAGCTCTGGTGCTGGAACACAGGCTAATGAGCACATTTATAGGTAAACCGTTTGTAAATCATACAGCATCGGGATTATTGACAACGATGTTGAGGCTATTGCTTTTTTCAAAGTGGCTTTCCTTGAAACTGAAGCTTCATCTGGTTCAGATTATTGATGATTACTAGATGGACCTGGGCGATCTCTGGGAGGGATTATTTGGTTTTCTAAAAGTAAAACCTGAAGGCAACGTAAACAGGATGAATAGCAGCGACCCTCATTAGGTTCCTCCAGTGGTCGCAGAAGTGAACAGCAGAGGAGGGACTTTGCAGTTGTTTCATCATCTCAGTGTCATCGTGTGCATTTTCCATGTTGTAAATAACTGCTTGGATTAAAATAAATGACTCAAGGACCAGGATGGCCAATCAGACTGCGATGATCTAAGCAACATGCTTTTGCAGAACACCGTGTGGAGGGGAGTAAGGAAATGTGTTTATTGCAAGCAAAATGATCAATAAGAATGTTATTGCACTTGCATATTCTTGTATTATCCTTCAGGCTCATGCCTGAATCAACGGTTAAAGCCAGCATCTCACCTGAGCTGAGACTACAGCGGGCAGATTGCACACATCAGTCGTGAGCTAGTCTCCAAATGTCTGGAAGTGTTTGCAGGGGTTCTCTGTTTCTTTGTCACAGGGCCTTTCTCCTATGTCACCTGATTTTTGAACGTTTATAAAAAAGATTTGCGTGACAGCTTACCCTTCAGATAAACACAGTCTTTGCATGCATCTTGTAACATTCTCAAGGTCTTCTCAATTTAGTTTCCATGAGTCCAAAAATGTGAGGAAATCTAGATGTGCCTTATGACCCCGGCTTTCCACTGGAGCCGTCAGCAGCGCGAGTCGGCCGCGTCTCAGGAGCAGCATGTCGCGGCCTTTACGCGCCGGTTCTATTTTCTACGCGCGACGCCTCTGAAACGGGTCAAGTTCGACATTTTTGGGGAAGGAAAGACAGGAAATCGGACACGGAAATGGAGAGAAGCTCCCGAGATTTTCAGAATAAAGAACGTACTGCCTTCCGGTTGCTTTACTTTTAAGAGAAGTTACTAAATGTGTGTCCCCGTGAGAAGTTATCACCTAGCTAGCGGTCTCCTTTGTTTTTCAGGTCCGTATTGGCGATTATAAAATGGACAGAACATTAAACACAAACCATTTGGAGCCATGTTGTAGTTTTCTCCTGCTTGTTGTTGTGTTTACTGACGAAGTCACTCGTGTGACTTCGTGCTCGGTCGGTGACAGCTGCTCCCCTGCTGCTCCGTGTCTCGTGGGAAGGGCCAAGCAGCAGCTTACGCGAGCAAGACGTGCTGCTGCAGTAACGTGCTGCTGACGGCTCCGGTGGAAAGCCGGGGTGAGTGCGTGACCAGGAAAAACGCACCCAAACTGAGACGCATTCTGGAAAAAGTTGCCTAAAAGTTGCAATTTGGTTGCAGTCTTATCAAATACCTCACTTCACTCTGCCATATACGCAATTTGTGGCCAAAGTGTCATACCTACCAATTTAGCGTGACTGAGTGTAAAATTGCAGACTTCCGTTCAATGTTGTCTCCGGCCTCCAACCTCGTGTCACCAACGGTCACAGCCCAGCAAGAGGAAGGATTTTCTATCATTTTTTCTCTGTTGTAAAAACCTGTGGTCTCTCAATTCTCATCATCTCTTAGAAAAACCATTGCTGGAAGTAAAGAAATAATTAGGTTGGAAGTATTACATAAAACTACACAAAAATCCACAATCCAACAGGTTTCCCTGATGCAGGACTAAGTTTTAGTCGTATTTAATGTACTACATGAACATGAAATTAGGCCAGAAAGGTGTCAAAAACAAAGTGATTTACTGGAGTAATGTTAAATCTATTTAAATGTAGTTCTCATTTTTATTTCTGAAAAATGGCAGTTTGGGGATGTTTATGTCCACACACACACCTTTCTCTGCTAAATAGGTCAGTGGAAAAGAGTTTAAGGAGCTGCTGTTGTTGTGCAGCTGTGAATTGGAAATCTGTGCAAGATGGGTCTTGTTCTGCTGGCGTCGGCAGCCCCAGTCCTGATGAAAACCAGATGCTCATGAATCAGGCCATTGTGGCTGGCTGGCCGAGGGAAGCACTTGCACTGAAGTCGACAGCTCACACACCCCACCCCCCCTTACTTTTGCTTCAAACTTCTCCATGTCGGTGTTACTCTCTCTCTCTCTGATTTCATCCCTGGCTCGTTTACTTCCCAATCACTCACCTGCTCGTTCTCTGTCCTCCAGATTCCTGTTCAGGTCAGTCAACTTCAGAAGCAAGCCCAACGGCCCGATGCTAGTAGCCACCTACTGGCCTGACCTGCCGGCCAAGATAGACGCTGCGTATGAAAATCCAGTGGACGAAAAAACGGTCTTCTTTGCAGGTTTGCAATAAAACAAAGTAAACGTTAAAAAGTGATGAGGTGCTGCATGAAGAGTTAACCTCACTATTTATTTCCATTGGTCAGCCGTTTCTGCAGTGAAGGCCCAGCAGGAATGTTGGCTGGGCCGTTTTTGTTTGTGGTGCATTTGAGATCTTCCACCACGGCCATTAGTGGCTTCTGTTGCATTCTCTGCATTGTAATAAGATGACAGTTTTTCCAGAATACTAATGAGAAATAAACTTTAATCTCGGTTGAGGTAACGTGAACCACGTAGCTCCCTTGGTTAGAGTGATAGTTCAGATCTTTTAAAGTGGATTTGAGTGAACACCGGTCAGTTTAGAGAAACGTTCAGACTGAATGGACATGCTACGGGAAGTCAACGTTCAGGCAGCCTTGTTAATCTTGGTGAATTTTCTGCATAAATAATCAGTTACGATGAAAATTTTTAGTTAAATACACCTGTGGCAAGTAAAGAATGGGGATATAAATAAGTTAATGATAAAGGAGCTAGGACAACCCCCCCCCCCCCCCCCCCCTCCAGTAATTGCTGCTTGTAGTTTAGAGTCTCGACACACGCTAGCACCTGAGGTGTCACACAAGAGCGGTCCTGGTGGAGGAGCAGACAGCTGCCTTTTATTGGATGGCTCGCCCCGCTTATCCGTCTAACGCCAGCCACCGGCCTCTTTACTGAGATGGGACCAGACCGGAAGCGTCGGTCCCATCACACGTGGTTTAGGAAACACACACAGTGATGTTTGAAAAGTAAAACTAAGTTTAGAGGATTTACAGAAAGTAAAATATTTTTATACAATTTAGGCAGGTGCTTACATTTGGGCACTGTAGTCATTTTATTGATTCCAAAACCTTTTGACTAATTATTGGAACTCAAATTTGGTTTGGTAAGCTCAGTGACCCTTGACCTCGATACACATAAATCCAGTTATGAGGTAGAGTATTTAGGGGCCAACTGTATGTTTCCCTCCTCTTTGAATATTGGGTTTAGGGTTAGGGAAGAACAGCATTCCAAGAAACACACCTGGTGGTGGTTCCATCGTGCTGTGGGGCTGTGGGGCCAGTGCAGGGACTGGGGATCTTGTTTAAGTTGACGGACGCATCGATTCCACTCAGTATCAGCAGATTCTGGAGACCAATGTCCAGGAATCCGTGACAAGGTTGAATCTGGGCTGGATCTTTCAGCAAGACAACAACCCTGAACACTGCTCAAGACCAACTAAGGCATTCATGCAGAGGAACAAGCAGAGCACATCTGTAGTGAGTTAAAGCGAGCTGTTGTTGCTGAAAAGCCATCAAACCTGAATGAACTAGAGGTGTTTTGTACAGAAGAATGGTCCAAAATACCTTCAACCAGAATCCAGACTCTCATTGGAAGCTGTACGAAGAGTTTAGAGGCTGTTACTTCTGCAAAAGTAGGATCTACTAAATATTCAGTTCATGCCCAAATGTATGCACCTGTCTAATTTGGTTTAAACATATATTGCACACTTTCTGTAAATCCTATAAACTTTGTTTTACTTCTCAAATATGACCGTGTGTGTTTCCTTTATATGTCTAACTGACATTTTTATTGTAAAACCCAACGATTAACACAGGAAAATCCGGACGTTTCACAAGGCTTCCATCCCACTGTAACTTATGAGCCAGTTGCATGTCTCCAATTCAAGCAAACACTTCGAATGATTATTTACATAGCCACAAGTGTCATAGATGGTGATTTTCAAATAATTCTACATTTATTTGTAGTAAAAATTTGTTTTTAGAGCTAGCTTTCTGTAGCACTTCCCTTTCAGCATGACAACATCCTGTTGGTCTTTCCTCTAATTTCTTATGAGATAATCACATGGTGTAATATTGACAGTGGTGCATTTAATGACTCCCTTTTGTTTCCATGCTTTCTCTTTACCAGGTAATGAGATGTGGATTTACAAAGCTGATGAGTTAGAAAGAGGCTACCCTAAGAGGCTGTCCAGCCTCGGCCTTCCGTCAGACTTGCAGCAAATCGATGCCGCCTTCAACTTCCGGAAGAACAGGAAGACTTACCTGTTTTCTGGAGACCAGTTCTGGAGGTAAAGAAAGAGAACGCTCATGCAAGAGTTTCTTAGAGTTAAGTTAGGTAATGATTTCAGCCTATCCTGCAGTAGATGTCATACACAGCCTCTTAAAGCAGTATTGTGTTGCATCTGGATCCATTTAGAGTCTGGTGAGACCTAAAGTAGAAAACATCTGTTAGCACTTTTCCAGCTTGGGAATTGTTTAGGGCCATTGACTCACCGTTTTATTACCAAGCTCCAAGCAAACACAGTTAATCTGTGTTTCCAAGTGGGATTAAAAGATGCATTTAATTATGTCATTGCTTGTCTACAGATACGATGAAGACCGGGCGACAATGGACCCTGGCTTCCCCAAACCCATCGCTGAATCGTGGAACGGGGTCCCAGACGGCATCGATGCTGCCTTCAGCCTGAATGGCATTGGTAACTTATTTTTTAAATGAAATAACAATAAAACATTTACAGCTTAGCCAATAACTCTTTTAAGACTTTGTTTGGGACGGTGGTGCTTATCGTCCTCATGGTGACCGCACATACATGTTCTTTTGGAAACATGCTTGCTGAGTATGTTTAGTCTGGCAGTTAGTGGGTAGCTAAATGACACCATTATCCCAAGAGCCTTGATGGCTTTAGGTTTTGCTTGATGGTTGTCACGCTTGAATTTTAACACGGTTAATCATCTGGGTGTCTGTAAACTGACATTCCTTCTGGTAAGACTGCATGAAACCCCCCTCCAGCTCTGTTTGGGAGTTTGGATCCGAGCCTTTAACAGTAAAACTCCTAAAACGCTAGAACCAAGAAAGCACTGGCTCAGTCCAGCCAGGAGTTAGATACGAAGGAGCTGTCTGCACAAAGATGTAAGGAAGGAAACAAACGAGGACCGGACAGGCGGGAGGAGAGCAGGTGCTTCACACAGCTTAGTTAATAATTACATGGGTTGTGAATGAATGCATGCTGGTTTCTGTTTCTTCTGACGGGTGCAGCGTTGCAGAAAAGATGCATTAAATACTTGAGGGTGACTTTTTAGTGTTCCAACTCCAGCAACCCTCGGGTGATCACAGTCATCCATGAGGTTAGACGAGGTTTGCACGCTTTGTGCTTTGGATTTTTCCATTACTGCTCACCTACCGTACAACCAAGCATCACATAGCCTCTCTCATTCATGGTGAAAACACGTTTATATAAAGCAAGCCTGTGGCTACACAGAGGCCCTTCTGTATGCTGCCTGATTAGCATAATTCAGAGAGGCTTGGGACCAACTTTAGCATCAGCTGACACTGATTTCAGTTTGACAAATAGATAGAAACAGATGATTTTGTTTTGTTTATTAAAGAGCAAGTCACCCCCTACCAGAGTCTAACTCCACTCCCACTTCATGTTTGAAAAATGCAACAAATGCTGTTGCCTGGCAGACCGAGAGGGCGGAGCCGCTAACAAATACACACACACACACAGGCTCACGACAGCATTGTGACATCATAATGTACCAGTTTACATCATTGCATACCTCTTAGCCAGTAGCGGTGGCAGATTTAAATTCAAATGCAGTGCAGAGTTTTTACCTGACAACGGCACAACACTGACAGTTTTAGGCAGAACATTTAAATTTTAACTAAGATGCACTGAAGTGCCAAATTATTGATGACACGTGTCTGCAGCATGATTAGACACACATTTATTTAGTTTATCAGCAAAAAAAAGTAGATTTGGGGGTGACTTGCTCTTTAATAAGCTTAAAGAGGAAGTTCACTGAGAAACAATTAATACTTGTTCTTTTTTAAATACGATAGTTTGTTTGTTTGTTTGTTTTACAGATTACAGCTATTTCTTTAAAGGAAACCACTACTTCAAACTTGAAGACAGCAGTTTGAAGATTATTAAATTGGGTGAAATCACAAAGGACTGGCTGGGTTGCTGAACTAAGTGTTTCTGAAGTGACGATGGCCTCGCTGTGTGAGGACGTCAACGATGTATCGCACACAACTTGAGGCTGCCGCAGTGCACGGCGTTTAATCCAGACATCTCAGCGCGCTTCGGCTGGAGACACGTACCTCCAGCCTGTATAACTTGTCTTCAGCTTTGGCACCTCGAGACCTTCTGCACAGGCTGAACATGTACAAATGGATACCTGCTTTATTTCTAAGAGATTTAGGTAGTTTTTTGTTACAATGACGATTTTAAGATAAGAAAACCTTTGTTGTTTAAATGTTACGATTTTCTGATTGTCGTGCAATGATTTTGAAAAAAGGAACTTGCACAATGTGACCGAATATGGTGCTTTTAGAGATTGCTTCTTGCATATAGTTTTATAGTTGATCTTGCATATAGTTTTATATTCTGTGTCTGATTGTAGTGCCGAGCATCTCTGGATGTCGGAAAGTAGCTTCCAACCTTCTTCCTTACGTTAGCACTTTGTATAAAACTAAACTTTATTGTTCTATATTATCATTGCACAATAAGAAAGGCTGGGCTCTGTGGCGGCGCCTCCAGGTGACATTCGGCCCAAACAGCTTAACTCAGCGGAGAAGGCACAGGTTGCCTCTAGAGGTTTGCTCCATGATTGAATCATGACAAGAATACTCCAGTAGTATTGTGTGCTTATGTTTTTATACTAGTTTTTATTTCATACAAAGTTTTTCCTTGTATTTTTACAATCTATTTGTGTGTCTTGTGTTGTTTTTGTGGCTTGTGCACTTTGTTACCATTATCAATAATAAAAGGACAGTGTATTCAACTCCGCTTGTTGTGGATGATTTACAAATGAAAACTTTTCTTTCTTTTAGCTTTTGGCTGGTGAGTGTGCTTTTTATGACGCGTCTCTGTTTCACTAGCCGTTTTCTCTGCTTTGGTCTTGTGTGTTTTTGTTGGTGTGGCTGTTCTGTTCGTGCTTTTATGTCTGCATGCTTTTTTCTCTGTGCAGCACTTTGGTCAGCTGATATGCTGTTTTTTAAATGTGCTATACAAATACATTTGTTATGGTAAGAGTCACACAAAGAATAATATAAAGTGCTGGTCAAAATGATCGCTGTCTTTGCATTTTCAGTTAAGAATTTCTTCCCTGAGGGTAAAAGGGTCCAGTTTCAAGAGTCTGAACTATTGATAAAGGTATGACAAGTAGGGATGCACAGATACCGATACTGGTATCGGTTTCGAAAAAAGTGGTATCATTGTTTCCCGAATGACAAGGTCTCCATGTTCACGCAAAACTAAAGTGAACAGTATTCTTGGTGAGTACAGGGTGTCAGCTTGCTCACTGTCAAAAAAATGAAGCCAGAAAAGAAACATCATTTGCATTTATTCAAACAAACAAACAAAAAGGATTCTACAGAAGTTATATGCATCAAAGTAGACCCACATCACCCCGCTTCTCCTCCAGCTTCACTGGCTGCCAGTCAACTTCAGGGTTCATTTCCAGATCCTGGTTCTGGTCTATAGGGCCTTACATGGACAAGCACCATGACCTTGATTTTTATCTTGAGAGGCGCTATATAAAATATTTTCTTTATTTCTTTTCAAGCTAACAATAAATTTAGCAAACTAACAAAAATTAATAAAATAAAAACAGAACTAAGTAGCACTTAATAATATTAAACGCAGGGACAGTGATAACAGTGTTATTGATTACGCAGAATATTTAAGTAAGACAGGAGGGGAAAATAAACTAAGATTTGGTCATTTCATCATAAGGGAAAGATAAATACACAAGGATATTTATTGTCTGTTTTTAAGATTATGGAATGAAAATCAAAAAATAAAAACTTGAACGATAAGCTAGTTGTGTTTAGAGCTCATTGGTGTACACAATTCAATTCAATAATACTTTTTTTTAATTAATTAATTTATTTTTTTACCGTGTCCTGTCTGGCTGTGAAGCAAGCAGAATTGATGTCTGAATGCTGGTGACAAGCCTTACAGATTTATTCTCAGGTGGAGCATCAAAGCGTCTGCTTTTAATGTCACGCCTGATACTTAAAACTTTATTGTTATTGTTGTTGTTGAATGCTTTGTAATTCCGACCAGACACGGAGACAGAGGTGAAAGAGAAAGGAAAAGAAAAGGTGGGGAGAGAGAGAGGGGGGGGGGGGGGGGGTTCCACAAAAATAAACAATAATGAACAAGAGTCTGCTTCTAGACCTGCAGAAAAAAGACAAAAAAACAAACAAAGGGACACAAAAAAGGGACACAACAACAATACAACAAGATCTACCTATCACTGCGTCAACTTGATGAAAAGAAAAAAAAAATATATATATAATCAACATTGCTTAACTGAAGAATCACGATAATAAATCACAACGCATTAAGTGCCCCCATAGTCTTAAGACCTGTGTTGAACGTGCCCAAGCCCATACCTTTGAGAGCACCATGTGAGCACCTGTGTGTGTACACGCGCTTGTTTATGTAAGGATTCTCTATAGGAGCGTCCAACAGAGAGAGTGAGGGACCACAGATCCGCCCCCCAAAGATGCGCAGGAGACGGGGGGAGCTCCAAGTCCCAGAGATCCAGGCGCTGCCCCAGAACGCAGGAACCCCAAGGAGACTGCAACCAGGAAGGCCCCCGCCCCCCTCGAGAGGCACAGAGGATCGCCCCGGGGGGCCACAACCAGCAGCCGGCAGACTCCCTGGAGATATCAGCGGCAAGCCCACAGGCCCGCCCGCAGCCTCCCACCCCCTAGTCGGCCGAGCCCGGGACCCAGCGACCCGGGACCCAGGGGCGACCACCCCCGCCGGGGACCCAGCAGAGCCCAGGGACCCAGACCCCACCAGGCAGCCACCGGGATCTAACAGGCAGATGCCAAAATCTTTAAACCCCCAGACACGGTTGCCACGAACACTCAGGCAGACCAAGGCACAAGCCCCCACACCAGGTGTGGCAGGGGGAGGGGGGACAAAGATCTATATCATCAAGAGAAGTTCCAGGAGAGGGGAGGACCCAAAGGCCCCACCTGACATATACAGTCATACACAAACACAGTCACACACTCTCTCCTTCATGCTCACACATGCACATACAACCCAAGACTTACAAAAATGCACGCCGGACACCCACTCATGCTCCCCATACACACCCTATTCACTCTGGTCCCGGTACTGCTGCACATTGGGTACAACCATCACCGGTTACCAGAGTTTGACCCTTTCTGCTGGGGTGCTGATGAGCAGGCTCCCCCGCCCAACGCTGAGCACAGCAACCCACCACCCCAGACCCCAACCAGACGGCCAGATCTCCCTCCTAGCCTCCAGCCCCAGGAAGCCTAGCAACAACAGAGGTGGCTAAGACCCCTAGTCTCCCTCCGCCTGCTCCAATATAGTGTTGTGTGATCATGAGGTGTATTCCATGGCTGTGGTGAGTGGGCAGTGCGGGCATCATCCAGCATATGCCAGCTGATGCCACCGCACCACCCCACTTACACCCTCAGCCATCAGTGTCTAAGTGCGGTTTAAAATTGGAAGTGGCTGGCAATTTTAAACCGCACTATCACATTACAATTACATTTAAAGTATCCAGGAATATAAACTAATCTAATAAAGGTGAAAAATATGCTGTGAAACAGCGCCATCTAGTGGGCATGTGTAGGAACTTTTAAACCCAGACCAACATTAATCTTTTTTTAATCAGTTTGTTCGCAGATTAAACTGAACATTTTTACTTTTTTTTGTAATTACAGTTGGTTTAATAATTCTACTTTTCAATTTAAAGAAAATAAAAAGCATGTGGCTGTAATAAATGACCCAGAAGAGATGCAGGAGCCGATAGGACGACGGCGGGTTTGTGGAGACCTGTCTAATCCGGGGAGAAGGGACTCGGCCTCGGTAGGTGGAGCTCCACGTGAGTCCGGCGCCCCTCTGTTGGTTCTGAGAGCTGCAGGTTCACGTGTAAAGACCGAGAACAGCCCTGCAGCATTTGAGGAAGTGAAGAGATGATAACGTAACGCAAGGCGCGGTGGACCGCCCGCTTTCGCCGAGCCGAGCCGAGGACCGGACCGACATGCCGCCGCGGCGAGTCTTCGCCTTACCGAGGCAGCAGTCGCTGCTGCTGCCGGCGGTCATCAACCCGTTCGTCCAAGACACCACACTGTCCACAGCTGCTGTCGTTAAAGTGAGTACTGCACACGCACACACACACACACACACACACACACACACACACACACACACACACACACACACACACACACACACACGCACACACAATCTCCAGAGGGTTTAACGATCACCTGACAGCACAAACAATGCACGTCATTGTCTGATTTTCAGAAAACTGGATTTGTGATTCTTATAAGTCCTGTTCTGTTTCTGCCCCCCACCCCCCACCGCCGTGTAGTGTGTCCTGTTGGGGATCTTCCTGGTCCCGGTTCGAGCCATCCTCATGTCGTTGGTGCTGATGGTGACCTGGCCAGTGTCTTTCATTATAACCTTCATGCATCCTCTGAAAGGAGCCGTGGAGCCAATGACAGGCTGGAGGAGGTAACAAACCCCATCTCACTTGAACCTTAGGAGAACCTTCATCTCAGACTGTGACCTCCATCACATCTTATCTGGAGTCATCAACGTCACCAAGTCCTGCTTCCTGGTCGCCCTGCTTGACATCTACTGCTAACATTAGCTGAATTTTGTCCCAGTTGCCCCACTAGCACAGTGCAGTGGTGTGCATCTTTGTGTCCTCTGTAGGAGACATGCAGGATAACCTCTTAGAGGTGAGGGGATTTAAGGAAATAACTTTAGGTAAGCATATTTTCACCAGAATAAAGTGTGTGACACACTCGTGCAAATGCACAAACTCCAGTCTCACTGGGAAAAGGCTGCATCCTCAAATATCACACAAGTCATAATAAAGTCACAAATTAGCTCTTGTCTCATGTACAAGTCCCAGTAGAACATAGTCCAAAATAATAGGTGACCCAAGTGGAGTATTTAAAAAAAAAACTTTTAAAATGTTTTGTCTTAGTAAACGGTTATTGTGCGTGTGTGTGTGTGTGTGTGTGTGTGTGTGTGTGTGTGTGTGTGTGTTTGCATAGATTCATGCTCCAGGGGAAAACAGCCAGCAGACACCACTGTGTCTCTATGAGAAAAGAGGAAGCTGTCTTTTCCAGAGCTCGTCCAGTACACCAGTAAAATATGCACTGATTCCCAGAACAACAATATGGAGTTTGGCTTCTGAAACTGACTTGAAGGCAGAAGTGTTTTTTTTTTGCAAATGTAATGAAAAAAGACAGGCAGAGTGAGGCTGCACATTCTCAAAGTAATAGTTCCCGACGGGGCTCAAAAACCATGCATCTTCATTCACTTTTGCTGAGTCATGCCTTGCTAGATTTGATCTGGCCCACGAGCCTTAGCTCAGCTCTGAGAGAGGAAGTGGTGATAAGGGTTTTGGTGGAGCAGAGGGTTGAACAGGATCTGAAGATGTGAATCTCCCCGTTTTATGTTAAAGTGACAATTTGTAGTTTTGAACCATTAAGCTCTGGAAATATCCATTGGAGTGTTGTAAATGAATTAAAAGAGACCCGGTTGTTGAAATATATTAGCATATAACCATAAAACTCTGGTCTAAAATGCATGGAGCGGGTCTTAGTCTCTGGGCGACGCCATATTGGATGCCATGTTTCCTTCTACGGAAGCCCGTGAGGACAGAATGCATTTACTGATTTGTAACAAACGGTTACAAAACTTTCAGCATTAATAAACGTTCTGTTACACGTTTACTTCTTTATTCGTTGCCAGTCGTTAAAGGGAATCGGATGTTCTTGTTTTCATGGAGGTTGCACGCCCCAGGACTTTGACCCTAATGGCCATCTGTTGGTAAGGTCTTACTTGAGCACAAAAACACTGCTTGCTTACAATGATTTAGGTATCTACTGGTTTTGGCTCTCTGATGGGCCGGTGACTTGTCCAAGGGGTCTCCTGCCTTCCCCCAGTTCAGAAAACACAACAGTGTGAAATGTGCTCTTGGTGAACCCCCCATCCAGCTTTACATCACTTTTCAATCATGTCTGCCTTCTGCTCAGAACAGCTCGCATCAACCCCTCACCTGTGAAAGCACCTGAAGCCGCTCGTAGTTACTGGCCCAGCGCCCTGCTGCTCTAAGCTTTGCACAGGTGTGAGGTGTGTACAGGATCTGAATCTGTGCCTTCTGCATGATAAAAGAGACCACATCTCAGTCACAACCAAGTTACGCAGTGTTCTCTGGGTTAAGCCTCCTGCCCAGTGGAGCAGGAATAATGCAGCTTTAAATATTTATGGCTTGTAATCCCGAATGAAAACAACCACTCATTATTTAGTCTTAGTGCCTTACTCTGCTTCGTGTTGTCCTCCTTTTTAGTTTAGATTTAAGGGAAGCAACTGGTTGTTGTAACATCTTGTTGCACAGAACAGACTTTTGTTACTTAAAGGGACTATAAGGAAGTATGACAGCCAAAACATGTATAGAAATAATAAATGTCTTCTTCATACATTCTCCTGCAATGCCCTGGTCCTGTAGAATGAGCCCTGGCATTTTTACTGTGATTGCCTGTTTTTCTGTAAAATCACAGAAAAAGAGAGATGCTCGGGTCGAGCAGGCTGCTTCATGCGCGTTCACGCTCAGGCATCGCCCGTAGCATTTGCTATCCGTAGCTTTAGCAGCAGAGAGAGAGGCAGTGCCACTTTGTCGCTGTTCCTAACGCCTAGTGACAAAGCTAGCTACATTTCTGAGGACCCTTAGCTACTTTCTGTAGAACTTTCTTCTAGATATTTCCTGCTAATTAGCAACAAAACAGCCATTTTCACTCCGAACCGTTCTTTGGTTTGACATTGTTTCAGCTGTCATCAAGGATATAAATGTTACAGACACAAACGACGTCACTGCTGCTTTAGCTCACCTTGTAAGATGTCCTGACCTGGGTTTGATTCTGGATGTGAACATAGTTTATTTAGTTTCTTTTTTACATTAATGGTATATTTTTTTACAGTAAGATGCCCAAATTTTTATTTGAGACTCGCCGAACGGCATTGAATTCACAGATAAAAAAGATGTGGGTTCAACTTTCATCTTGGAACAATTTTTCAAGCAAGGGAAGGGAATGATCTGAGCATGCAGGAGGACTGACCCATCATAAACCTTTGTCGGCTGTGCTGAAGAGAAAGGTACAGAACCTAATTATTTAATTAACGCTTTGGCCTGAGGGGGCAATCGCGAGCATAAAAATTCAAAACTCCGTAAAGTCCCTTTACATAATCACTTTTACTATTAAAGGTCAGAAGGAGGAAATTCTGATTCTGCTTCTGAGGACAGACACTGACTTCTGATTCTCGTACAGCTCTCAGCTGCTGATGCAGACTGAAACACATTTCTAACAACTGTGATTATCAGTATTATTCAATTAACTTGAAATTTATTATTCTGTGAAATTTTCACATGTAAATCAAAGACAAAGAAAGTCAGAACTCTGAGTTTCACACAAGCCATTGAGCAGATAGGACGATCGTGCTGACTAGTGATTCGTTTTGATCATCACCAACAGAACCAATTACAACTCATCATGAGATGTTCGTAGTTTAATACAGGAAAGGAAAACAAGACCTTTCTAGATTTTCTAAGACACGACGAACAACCTGTTTTTCTTCCCACCTGCAGGTTCATGTGTCGGTGGGTGATGGCCGCCTTGGGGAGGGCCTACTTTTTCTCCATGGGCTTCCGAGTTGTGGTGAAGGGTAAGAAGGCCAACAGCAACGAGGCCCCCATTCTGGCCGTGGCCCCCCACTCCACCTTTTTTGATGGGATCGTGTGCGTCGTCGCTGGCCTTCCCTCCACTGTCTCGCGTGTCGAGAACTTAGCCACGCCCATCTTTGGCAGTAAGACAATTATTTGGCTATTTCATATCTGCAGGATCTGTGTGTGTGTGTGTATGTGTGTGTGTGTGTGTGTGTGTGTGTGTGTGTGTGTGTGTGTGTGTGTGTGTGTGTGTGTGTGTGTGACGGTACATTTCTTACCCTCTGAGACACTGTGGTCGATTACACAAGACGTGTGATTTTCAGTGAGACCTCCTTGGTGTTCTGTAGAAAGTCGTTACTTTGACACATCAGACACACACGCTGATCCGACTAACATTTACAGATGTCTTTGTGAACTGAACTTCCTCCATTAGCTCAGTGAATTGCCCATTTTATTGACAAAACTGCAGCGTGTTTCATATTGCTGCTGCATGAGTCAGACAGGGAATGGATTAGGCTCCGCCTCCTTATGCTTACAAAACCTGCAAGTTAGTGAAGCAACCAGGGAAGATAACAGGACGATTGCAGTAACAGTTTTCCTCCCGTGTGTGTGTGTGTGTGTGTGTGTATGTTTGTGTGTGTGTGTGTGTGTGTGTGTGTTAATGCCGTGTATGTGTTGCATTGCTGCAGGGTTTCTGCGTTGCCTCCAGCCGGTGCTGGTTTCTAGACAGGACCCAGACTCCAGGAGGAACACCATCCAGGAAATCGACAGTAGAGCCAAGTCAAGAGGCCACTGGCCGCAGGTTTGTCAACTCAAAACTCAACAAACCTTTCAAACTCTGACTCAAGGATTATCAGTTTTCAAATCTAATAAACAAAACTGGAGCAAAATGCATGAAAACTGAACAGTGATGCTTGGTGCCGCAGGTCCTGATTTTTCCAGAGGGAACATGCACAAATCGCTCTTGTCTTATCACTTTTAAACAAGGTATGCTGTCTTATTGCTGATTTCATAGTGGAACAACAAAATATCCCTTTGCATAGTATTTTATTGTGTGATTTATTGTTAATAAACTCCAACAAGTGTTTTCTAGGGATGCACCAATTTGAAATTTTGGGACGATACCAATAATAATTTTGCTGATATGGTGGATAACCTATATATATTCATTTCAATTCAAGTTTATTTATAAAGCGCCAAAATCAGGACAAGAGTCGTCTCAAGGACCTTCACACATAAACATTCCAATACAGGCCAGGTCATTAAGCCAATCAGTAAAAAGTTTCCTATATAAGGAACCCAGCAGGTTGCATCAAGTCACTGACTAGTGTCAGAGTCTTTACAGCAATCCTCATACTAAGCAAGCATGCAGCGACAGTGGAGAGGAAAACTCCCTTTTAACAGGAAGAAACCTCCAGAGAATCCTGGCTCAGTATAAGCAGCCATCCTCCACACACACACACACACACACACACACACACACACACACACACACACACACACACACACACACACACACACACACACACACACACACACACACACACACACACACACACACACACACACACACACACACACACACACACACACACACACACACACACACACAGGTTACATTGTGATGTCTTAGTAAATATTCTATTTGGTGAGAGATAAACTTTATTGTATTTATCCTAGTGGATCTATAATTAAACTGATAAACTAGTAGTAGCACATCCAACGTCAAGGAAAGTAAAAAGTTATTATCAGGAGAGAGAGAATGTTTAAGTGGTTAGCAGCAGTGTGCTAGACGATGGCCCCCTCCATGAGGCCACCGCAGCTCAGCAGAACATCATTGTAGCTTCTTCTGGGGAGAAAAACACTTAGAGAGAAAATAAAGTTAACAGCTGAAATAGCAGGAAATAATACAGTTAAAGAGCAGACTGTAGAAGAAAGCAGTAGAGTGTGGAAAGTGGTCAGTGTATCCTCCAGCAGTCTAAGCCTATAGCAGCATAACTACAGAGATAACTCTGGATAATCTATCCTATTTAGATGGAGGCATGTTGGAGGCAGGGCAAGGGAGAGCCGTCTTTACCGACTGTACACTCCACCTCCCTCTACTCCCCCACTTGTCCAGATCTGGGCTAACATCAGATTTTAACCATAAGCCCTATCAAATAAAAATGTTTTAAGCCTAGTCTTAAAAGTAGACAAGGTGTCTGCCTCACGCACTAAAGCTGGGAGCTGGTTCCACAGGAGAGGAGCCTGATAACTAAAAGATCTGCCTCCCATCCTAATTTTAGATATTCTGGGAACCACCAGTAGACCTGCAGTCTGAGAGCGAAGTGCTCGGTTAGGAACATATGGAACAATCAGATCACTGATGTATGATGGAGCTTGATTATTAAGAGCTTTATATGTGAGAAGAAGGATCTTAAAATCTATTCTGAATTTAACAGGTAGCCAATGTAGGGAAGCTAAGACAGGAGAGATATGATCTCTCTTTTTAATTCTCATCAGAACTCTAGCTGCAGCATTTTGGACAAGCTGAAGACTTTTAACTACATTCTGTGGACTTCCTGAGAGTAATCACAATGTATATATATATATATATATATATATGTATATATATATATATATATATATATATATATATATATATATATATACATATACCTACATGCACGCACGCACACACGCACACACACACACACACTTACACACACACACACTTACGCTTTGAGATGGTTACCATCACTGTCACATGACTAAACACACATCATCACCCACCCCACCCTCTGAAACAGGTACACAAATGGAAAATATCAGTTGTTAATATCGGCCCAGTTTTATTTATCAAGCCAATACCGACATGTTAAAAATGACCAACACCGGCCGATACCGATGTTGACGTCGATATATTGAGCCTCCCTAGTGTTTTCACATGTGAGTCTCCTGCTGGTTGTCAGGTGGGAAAACAGGGATTCCAGGTAGTGATGGGACTCATGGCTCTTTGAAGGGAGCCGTTTATTCGAGAGCCATTTACCTCAAAAAGATGTTCAAAAGATTTGATTTGTTCGTGAACGTCTCGAGTGATTCTAGCGTGTTTAAAAGTCCTGAAGCTGCTCATTGTTGATTATTTGATCTATTTTCTCCTCACTGATACCTTCTGTTCCCACCTGTAGGTGCCTTTATTCCAGGAGTTCCAGTGCAGCCTGTTGTTATAAGATATCCCAACACAATGGTGAGCCCATCTAATCAATATAATAAACATTAATAACTGCACTGTCACTATTAGAACTGCAGTTTGTCTGAAAATAAGAGTTTAGATGAAATGCACGAGCCGATTATGACCATTTGCTCCATCTCAGCAATATTTTCATGAAGCTTTGGTTTTATTGTTTATGGATCTCTTTACCTCTAGTCATTGTGTTTTCTTTAGGACACGGTTACTTGGACTTGGCAAGGGTTCAGTTCGTGAGTACAGACCAGTGTTTCTCCTAACCGTAAACGCTACAGAAGCTAAATAACGCTGCTTTATTTGTTCTGTGTGCAGGAAGACGCTGCTGCTCTTGACTCTGTGCCAGCTCTACACCACCGTAGAGATCGAGGTAAAGGCCATTCCGGATTCACCTCGTTCATGCATTCATAAACACTCCCAAGCTGCACGATGCTGCTAGTTTACAGGAAATCTATGCAGATGGTCCTGGTTGTGGTCTCTGCTGTTATCATGTAGCAGAGATGTGTTTTCATGTTGAGGTAAACAAAGTTAGCTCTTTGTTCGACCTTCCTTTCACCCTACTTCCTGTTTTTCTCTGCTCTTTTTTCCCAGTTCCTGCCGCCACACGTCCCGACGGAGGAGGAGAAGAAAAGCGCGGCTCTGTTTGCCTGCAGAGTGCGCGAAACGATGGCCCGGTGGGTGCCCTGTGGTCACGCTTCTGTCATGTTTTATAAAAATCACTCTCTGGTGATAACCGGTGCTTCGTGGTTTCATGGTTTGAGCTGCACATCCAGCTGCGTGCTCCATGCATAAAAAACAAAGTTTGATAGATAAATGAAAGTTTACATTTGAACAATTACAACATAAAGTTGTAGCCACACAGAATCGGGCACGACTTGATGAGAAACACACGAGCTGGATCAGCCACTTCTAACCGGTATCTCACCGGGCTGCAACTGTTATATACAACCGTCTAGAGCAGTGATTCCCAACCAGGGGTCTGTGAGTGCATTACAGGGGTACATGGAAAAATGTATATTTCATCACCCAGATGATAACAACTCTCGCCCTGGTGAGTAAAAAAGATGCTGCTGCGCAGTGCAGAGCACGTGGATTCAGCAGTACCAAAGGCGGGGAAACGTTGGTCACATGGACCTGGTTTAGGTTTCAGGAGCTGATGTTTAACATAGAAACTGTCATGATGGGCAGCCAAGAGGAGGTTAGGACCCAAAGATGCAGGTGGCACTTAGTGGAGCAATAACGTAAAATCCTTTTATTAAGAATAAGTCCAAAAAGGCAGGGAGCCAAAAAAAACAAAGTCCCAAATAACAAAACCTAGAATCCAAAAACGAAGATCCAAATCTAGAGAGGGGAACAAGACAAAGGTGACAATGACCCAACACCAGACAGAGACGCAGACAGGGTTATATACACTGGGGCATGATGAGAGGCAGATAGGCTGCAGGTGTGTGGGGAGAGAAAGCAGGTGAAAGCAATTAACTAATCAGGGAGGAAACCAACATGACCGAAGAGTAAAAACCTAAAGACAAGAAAAGCAGCAAAAATAACAAATATTCTAAGGGGAAGGAAAACTACAAAAACACTGAAGAGACTAATAAAATGAGAAGCTGAACCTATAAAAAATGGCAGAGGGGTGACCGGGGGAGACTGAAGGAACACAGGACCTGGGAGGGATGATCTGGAGGGCTGCAGACCAGGGGACACATGAGGAACACAAGGAGACACATGAGGGGATACTTAGAGGGGGATGGAGCACACAAGGAGACACATGAGGGAGACGCAGACATGACAGAAACGTCCTCGGTAATAACTCTGGAAACAGTAAACCCATATCTGCGTTAGTAGCTCGTTAACACGAATCCCTTAAATGCTGTTTGTTGTTGTTTTTAAACACATGATAAACACACACACTTCCAAACTGCTGGACATCTCCCGTGATTTAGTTTGAACAAATTTCCATCTGCAGCTGTTTATTTATTGTTTGTTAACTCATTCGCTGCCAGCGTGTCTCACAGTTTTTACTGTTATTCTAAGAGTGACAGAACGATGTGCGTTAGGATGATGTCGACACCAAAACAACCAAAACAAAGCGGAGACTCACCTCTTACATCAGGAAGAATCCGCGTGTCTCGAGCGTTATCCGTTCTTTCATAATCCGTTGCTGAATTGTGATCGGCAGACGCTTTTCCGGTTCGCGCCTCACTCTTTTTACAGCAGCGGCCCAAAACGATCTCCTAACACATGAATCAGGAAGAAATGTTATTCCTGTTTTTACAACTATTTAGAATATTGTGTTTCCGTCACACTTAGCTTGTGTTTTACTTAAATATCATCTTCATTCATATGAGGATTTGGTGTTGCATGGTTTGGAGAGTAAATCATAATATCATAAACTATACTAGAAAGCAGGGCTGCTCAATTAATCGAATTTTAATCACGATTACGATCTGAATTTTGAACGATTATAAAAACAAAACAAGCTGATTATTTGCTCCTCCCACTTGCGCTGCCCCGAGTTTCAAATGAAGCGCTCCTCCCTGGGAATGATGCAGTGATGTGTCAGTCGCTACAGAAACGGCTCTCGGAGTCGGCTTCCTGTTGGAGTAACCAGAGTGAGTGACACACACACCGCACCTGCGGGCTCCTGAGCCGCCAAAAACGGATAAATGTGCGTGTGCGGCGTGCTAAACACACGTGCAGCTTGCCCCGATTGTTGAGACCGGGTTGGGGGGTGGGGGGTGCAGCTGTGGTTGGGACAATTTTTACATTCACTGATGGGCTTGTAAATAAATAGTTTATAAATAAGGTAGAAATAAGTTCCTCACGCTGATAACTAATAACTAATCTCTCTGAGGACACGGTGCTAGTGCACGCTCCTACAGCACCTTGACACGACTCAATAAATGTTATGCAACATTTTGTGAACATCAATTTATTTGCATTTATTTGTTATAAATGCCACTGTATAATTCTTGCTGTCAGTATTTGCAAGATACTGGTATTTGGGTCTGTACTGGTTAGACTTGAGTTAAACCAAGGTCTACAGCCCTTGGGTCATAGACTATGAGCTATAAGTATATTGGTCTTTTTATACTGGGAATCAGGAGTTATTTTAGTGATCATCTTGTTTCTTATTTATTTTTGTCCTGATTGTGCCCTGAGCAGTTTTTCTGACTGAATAAAAACAAATAAAATCAACATAAATTGAAAAATCGTCCTAAATAATCGAGATCTGAATTTCAGTCACCATAATCGTGATTATTATCTTTGCCATAATCGAGCAGCCCTACTAGAAAGTATTTGTAATAATTTTTGAACGTTAAATGTTCAATACGTTTTAGAAGTATTTGTTCTGAAATTCATGTGTAAATGTAAACAAACAGTCATTCTGACATAAATAAAACACACACTGAAATAAAGAATATATAGTGAAATAGATTTTAGACCACATGGCCCATTCCCACCCAAATGAATAATAAACCAAGCGCCTCTGTCCTGCATGTTTTCCACATCTCTGCTTCAGCCCAGCTGATTACATATCTGCATTACCTTCTCATGGTGACATCAAGTGCTGCAGAAACCTGTTAATCACTCGCTCATTTAGATCAGGTGTGTGGCAGCAGCGAAACACCTAAAGCAGGACAGAGGGGCGCTGAGGACCAGGGTTAAGAAACAGCACATGAAGGAAAACCCAGAGCGGGGCTGCAGCTGCTACTGAGAGAGGGCCTGAAGCAGAATGGATACGCTCCAGTTTCACACGGATCAGGAATGATCGAGTCCAGTCAGAGCATTTACTCCAGCTGTGGTGGGGATCCAGATGCAAGCTTCCTCATGGAGTCTGGACCCTGCATGAGGATTGTTAAAGTTAATGAATTCCCCCAAGCCAGACAGGAAGTGAGACGTGGTTCAGCGTTTAGGAGATTTGATGAAATCATTTTCATTTAATAATCAGTTGCACATTCTACTTTTGGGGAATCGTCAACACGTTAGACTAAGGGGGTATTCGTGGTACGAGTAAACGGCTCAGGGGGTCCACCAGTCAAAAAAGGTTAGGAACCACTGAGTACTACAACTCCCCAAGACGCTTTACAACACATCAGAACACCTTTGCAAACGTTCCACAGTTTAGTTTGTGTGAGTCAGGAAGTGTGGGGTACCTTTGGAGGGGCTGGCAAACACGTAGAGACATCAAGATGACAACTGTTCCCACGCTTTGGTAACTGTCCAATATGCCGCATTCGACTGGTCCACACAGAACCTTGTGGGACACTATTAAGGGAGGTGGTGGAGGACCTAAACTTGGAGACGGCCACAGAAAAGGAGCGCTCAGAAAGATAAGAGGAGAACCATGGTTCTGGTCTATAGGGCCTTATATGGACACTTACATTGGTGATCTTCTTAGTCCCTACACCCCCAGCAGGTCCCTGAGGTCCAGTGATCAAAGCCTACTGGTTGTGCAGCACCAGGCTAACGCTTGGTTTTTGCTTGATGCGTTAACTTTCCGCGCGGTGATGCGGCTCATGGATGGAAAGCGCTTCACAACTCGCAGCGTTTATGGTTCATGCGGCTCGTCTCTGTGGTGAGCCAATATTCTCCCAAACTGTAGGGGGCAGCATGGAGCTCTACGGCATGCATCCAGCACTACACCATAGTAGAAGTAGAAATTACTGTTTACAACATGGCATTCCAGCATTTTTTAACAGCGTCCTCGTCTTTTCCGACAGTGCGAGCTATTTCTCTCCAAGAATTATTAACAACATGTTGATCACGGTGATCTCTGAGAGCTGAATCATACAAATGTCTGTATTTACGAACCTCTGCCATACTAGTTCTTGCCAGTCCGCCATGTTTTTCTGTGTCCAACCGTCCGCGTGGTTAGAAAATTTCCTAGGTGTGCGGTGCAGAAAGTTTGGGCCGTGCGGAGGCACGGTGGAGGGGCGTGGTTGCTAAAATGACGCAATTTCGTCGCGCGGAGCCGTGCGGACCTCGTGCACACGTCAAGCATAAACCAACCTTAAAGGTCAAAGGTGACAGATCATCTGCTGCTGTGGCCCCCAGACTCTGGACCTCTCTCCCCCTGAGCCTGAGATCAGTGGACTCGGTGGTCTCCTTTAAAAAGCAGCTGAAGACTCACTTGTTCAAGCTGGCTTTTGGATGACCTTCTTCACCTCTCTCTCTTTATTCTGCTCTCCCCACCTATTCCTCCTTCCTCACTGATTTCCCTCTTTCCTATTCACTCTCTCTCTTTCTTAACATTTTTAATCACAATTGTCTATTTTTTGGTAAATTTTAAATATATTTTTAACAATTTTCTAATGTTTTTTAAATATTTTTACATTTTTTGTTTTTGTGAAGCGCCTCGTGATTTTTATCTTGAGAGGCGCTATAGAAATGATATTTTCTTCTTCTTCTTCTTTTCTGTCCAACTGGTGTCCCTGCTTTTACATCCCGGTGAGTCGGTTTCTAACCCATGTGACCTGACGGCTAATCTCTCCACCGTTAGGGCTTTGGGGGTTCCGGTTACCGATCACACATATGAAGACTGCCGGCTGATGATCACAGCTGGAGAGCTGACTCTTCCCATGGAGGCCGGCCTGGTCGAATTCACCAAAATCAGTCGTAAACTCAAGTAAGAATGTTTTGATAGAGTAGGCCACAGATAAATTCCTGAAGGACACTGAATGATTGAAACCTGGTTTCGCCCAGTTTAAAGTGGGACAGTATAAAGAAGGAGCTGGAGGGGTTTGCTGCCATTGCCGTCTCTTGTAAAGGAGGACGCATCACCATCGAGGAGTTTGCAAGTTTCCTGAAATTACCCATCAGCCCTGTCCTCGAGGAGCTCTTTGCTCTTTTTGACAGGGTGAGGAACGGTCGAGAACAGACTCTCTCACTTAAATGTGTTTTTCTAAATATTCTGTGCCTGGAATGGGTTAGGGTAATATTTGCTCCACAGCCATGACAATGATGATAAATGTGTAACACCTCTCAGAGTCAGAGGACTCCAAAGCACTTTACACTACAGCGTATCATTCATCCGTTCACACACACATTCACACACTGGTGAGGATGAGCCTTGACGTAGCCGCAGAGCTGAAGCTGCTGTACACCGGCACCACCGGTCCCTCTGGCTGCCACCAGCAGGCAAAGTGGGTTACGCGCCTTGCCCAGTTCTCTGTCCAGAGCCAGGATCAAACCTGCAACCTTCCCGATTACTGGACAACCCGCTCTACCTGCTGAGCTACAGCTGCAGTTAACCTCTGTAGACTATCGTCACATCAAACGTCTGTGGCTTTAAAAATGGAGCATCAGGATTAGTAGCTTCATCAGAAACCTGCCATGATCAGTCCCATACGTGTCTACTGCCCCCTGGTGGAGGATTTAAATGAGGCAAGGGCCAGTTTTGATTTATTACCAACATATTATTATAGATTTACTAAATAAAACCAATAAATGTGTTATGCCAATAAAAACCTCAGTTTTAGAAACTATATTTTTCATTAGAATAAAAACAATGCAGGCTTTAAATTATCAACCCTTAACTAAACCATTTGCAACAATTCTATTTATTCACAAATGGCAGAACAGGATTAATAAGCACAGGCAGGTTGGAGTGGATGATTGTGATTAAAGCAACTTGCCAATATTGAAATGTAAATAGAATATTTTAGTAAAAAATAAATTGATTGAGTTCAATGAAGATATTTTTACAGTTCATTCTAAGGATGCATGCTCATAGCCGTCCTTTACCCTAGCATAACGCTCCCATCTGTCCTTTTCTCCCTGTAGGATGGAGACGGCACCATCGACTTCCGGGAGTACGTTATCGGTGTGAACATATTGTGTCGGCCGGCGAACACAGAAGATATTTTACAGATGGCCTTCCAGGTACGATTAGAGCGGTCAGTGAATTCCAGTAGAGCCTGGAGCTTATTCTGTATTAGAACGAAGAGAAAGCAACAGCGTGATGTATTTACATCCATCCTGGTTATTCAGCTACAGTAAAGGCTCCATAGTGATTTGACTAGGATTGAAGCGCTCTAAGAGTCATTTTTACTTATTTTTATATTGATCTGCGTTTTTCATGCAGGCTGAACATGAAACATGTTTTCCCACAGAGATGGACTAAAGACGTTCATTTATACCAGAGACCACTGCAGATGTGCGGAAAAACAAACGGTCTAACAGGCAAAGACTTCTGGGTTCACTTCTCCTTTCTTTTGTGAATTCGACTCTTGTGATTCAGTTTTTTATCGGATTTATTTCGTATGACTCAAGTCCCTTTGCAGTTTTCGACTGGTTTAGCTGAGTTCATCGAGTGTTTCAGACTCTTTTTGTGTCTTTGTCCCCAAGATAATTGTGCATTACTTCATACTTACACAGTACTTCACAGGATGATCATTCAGCGTATCTTGGCTTGGACAATCCTCTACCATGCACTATCTTGCCACAGGAGTCCCCCAGGGCTCTGTACAAGGACCTCTTCTCTTTGTCATATACACCACCTCACTGGGTGAGATCATTCGATCACATGGCTTCTCCTACCACTGCTATGCAGACGACACCCAGCTCTATCTGTCATTTCCACCGGACGACCACACTGTCTCTGCACGAATATCAAACTGTCGCTCTGACATATCAAAATGGATGAAATCCCACCATCTCCAACTCAACCTCTCTAAAACTGAACTACTTGTCATCCCAGCAAAACCATCCATACAGCACAATATCTCAATCCAAAATGGCTTCCTATCTCTGGCTCCTTCAAAGGTGGTTCGAAATCTGGGTGTTGTGATTGATGAACACCTGACCTTTAAAGATCATGTTGCCTCTGTTGCTCGTTCATGCCGCTTTGCGCTGTATAACATACGAAAGATCAGACCATACCTAACACAACATGCCACCCAGCTCCTGGTGCAATCTACTGTCATCTCCCGCCTCGACTACTGCAACGCCCTTCTAACTGGTCTTCCAGCCTGTACTGTGAGACCTCTTCAAATGGTCCAGAATGCAGCGGTGCGTCTGGTCTTCAATCAGCCAAAAAGAGCACACGTCACCCCTCTGTTCATTGAGCTCCACTGGCTACCGCTAGCAGCACACATCAAATTCAAATCGCTAACACTAGCATACAAAGTCCGAGATGGTACGGCTCCCATCTACCTGAATCCTCTTGCAAAGGCTTACGTCTCGGCCCGGCCGCTCCGGTCATCACAGGATCGTCGGCTAGCAGTGCCTACACCACGCTCAGGACAATCCAGACTCTTCTCATGCATCGTTCCACAAATGTGGAATGACCTTCCTAACACGACCAGAACAGCGGCTTCCTTTTCAATTTTCAAGAAACTCCTGAAGACCCTGCTCTTCAAAGAGCATCTTCTTAACTAGCACCCTCCCTGCACCCGTCCCCCCTCTCTACTGTCCACTCCTTGTTCCCTCCTCTCCATGATTGATGTCAAGTTGTTGTTTTTGTTGTTGTTGTTAGCCTCAAGGGCAACATGCCGATTATCACTTGTAAGTCACTTTGGACAAAAGCGTCTGCTAAATACATAAACATACTGTGGTTCTGTGACCCGTGGATCATTTTGATTTGCTGCCCGGAAGCAGTTTTGTTTATTAAATTTCTCCTGGTGGTTTAATTATCCTGTTTCCATCTTAGCAACGTCCATATTCCTCAGCATTTGACACAAATATAAAAAAACTGGCATGAAGGATAAGTTTAGTATTCATGCTAAATCCTTTCCAGGGGTGCCCAATCCTGGTCCTCGAGGGCCGGTATCCAGCATGTTTTAATTGTAATTCGGCTTCAACACACCTGATTTCAATGAGCAGGTGATCAACAGGCTTCTGCAGAGCCTGATGAGCTGCTGCACAGGTGATTCAACCAGTTAATCAAGTGTGTTGAAGCAGAAAAACCACAAAGCCTGCTGGATACCGGCCCTCCAGGACGACGATTGGGCACCCCTGTCTTAAACAGCAAGTTTTAAATGGATGATTTAAAAATGCTAAAAGCTCATTTCCTGGTAATGCTCAGCAGTCAGTACGAGTTTCACTGTAGGAAGAACAGAGGCAGCGTAGGGACACGTGGATAATGTCAAGTGAACAAAAGGGCGTCTCGTTAAGATCAGAGCTGTCTGCTACCCGGAAGGCCAGATGTGACTTGTGAGCAGACAGATCTTGTGTTTATATCAGGTAACAGAGTCCCGTTTAAAGACTTTCCCTGTTCTGTGGCTGTTGTTCAGCTCTTTGACACGGATGATGATGGGAAAATCTCCCACGACGAGTTTACTGCCCTGCTGCGCTCCGCTCTGGGTGTGCATGATCCAAACATGTCGAAGCTCTTCATGCTGATCGACGCGGACTCCTCCGGTTTCATCACCTTCAGTAAGTGGATCCGGACTCTTGTCAGAGGCTGTTGGTCACTCAGCCCTCCTGCTGTCCTCCCACCAGTCTGGTGTTTTGAAATGGAACATTTTGGGTTACAGAACTATCGAAAGTTGCCGGATCTTGATGTTTTCTTTTGTCTTGTGATTTCTCAGATGAATTTCAAGCTTTTGCCAGCACCCACCCGCAGTATGCCAAGCTCTTCACCACCTACCTGGAGCTACAGCGATATCAAGCCACCAGGGAGTCCATTCCCGGGGATCTGGAGTTCGACGCCCAGGCAGAATCGGCCGAAGATGAAGACGAAAGCGTTTCGGACAAGAAAGACGACTGAACACAACGGTGGTTGGGCTGCAGTAATATGAGGAAGAGGAAGGCAGCTACGTGTGACGTTGCTGCTGCAGTATGTGTCGTAAATGTCACGGTTTCCGTCTGGTTCAGAGCGCTTTTTATGACTATTAGTGCCTTCTAGATTTCAAATTTGTAAGTTGAATGTTTTATTTTTGTCTCACGAAAATAAGCAAATGTTTAATGGGACGCGGTGATGTGTAAGTAGTTTGTTTGAACACGTTCATGAATAACATTCACCACTCTTTCTTTTCTCTGAGATGAACACTTTTAGTTTTTATATTCAAACAAGGAAAAACTGCCAAACCAACACATCTTCACAAGCGGAGAGTCCTCGTGCTCTGATGTTGCGGTTTAATTGGTGCTTTAGGAAAGACTCTCCAGCCACAGATAGATCCTGTATTAAAGCTGTTTACAGAGAGCACGGATGCTTTCTTTGCTTTACACGTCTCCCCTGCGCTCAGCAGGGACACAAACCTTGTATAATTAGCCAGAAGTTTGCTTTGCATGTGTACTTATTTGCATTTCTACAGAAGACTGTTGTTGTTGCTGAGACAGCAGCATGTCTGTGCAGCTTTAGGTTTACTGAAGCAAAGCAGCCATTAAAAATAGGGCAATTTGTGAGCAAAAAGCCAAGCAGTGCTTCTTTACAGCAGCATATTCCAGCGGGTATGTGTGGAGATTAACAAGCAGCGTTATTTATTTAGCAGACTGGATTACTATTATGCAGGCTTTCCTCTTTTTGGTGTGTGGGTACTGCAACGTTTGCTCATTTTAAATAAAACACGTTTACAAGTATGCTTCCCTGTGTCCGTGTGTGGATGCAGCTGGGTCTCTGAGGTCCACCAGGTGGCAGCATTTAGCTGAAGCTGTTTTATATTTTGAGTTGACTGAAATGAGTTGAATCAGTTAATAGTATGTAAACTTTTTCATATTCAGCAAGGAAGAAGAGTGCATTTGTCATAGCTGCTGAGTTGTTGCTACTTACAATATTTTATTTCTGGTCATTTTTGACACAAATCAGCGTTTAAAAACTTAACCGTTTTGTTTTGTTTTTTTCTCATTCCTGACAGACAGTTACTGAACCATTATCAGTCAGGACAAGCAGGAACGTGTCTTTCTTCATTTAGCATCTTCTTGAGGATCTGCCGACTCTTGGACAGTCTGTGGTGGCCCGTGGCGTTGGTGGGTGGAGCAAGACATGACGTCCCAGATGTGCTCACCTGGATTCAGGTAGAGGGACGGGCAGGCCAGTTCCTAGCATCAGTACCTTCATCCTGCAGGATCTACTGACACACCCCAGCCACATGAGGTCTAGCACTGTCTTGCATTAGGAGGAACCCAGTGCCAACCACACCAGCACATGGGGTCTGAGGAGCTCATCTCGGTACCAAATGGCAGTCAGGCTACCTCTGGCAAGCGCACGGAGGGCACTGCAGCCCCCCAAAGAAATTCCACCCCGCACCATTTCTGACCCACTGCTAAACCAGTCATGCCGGTGGATGTTGCAGGCAGCAGAACGTTCTCCACAGCATCTCCAGACTGTCACGTTTGTCACATGTGCTCTGTGTGAACCTGCTTTTATCTGTGAAGATCACAGGGCACCAGAGGTGAATTTACTAATCTTGGTGTTCTCTGGCAAAGGCCAAACGTCCCGCATGGTGTTGGGCTGTGAGCACAACCCCTACCTGTGGATGTCGGGCCCTCATACCGCCCTCGTGGTGTCTGTTTTCTGTCTGTTTGAGAAAACACGTTCATCTTTGTGGCCCGCTGGAGGTCCTTTAGCTGGGCCCTGGCAGTGCTGTTCCTGTTTCTCCTGGCACAAAGGCAAAAGTAGCAGTCCTGCTGCTGCTGTTGCCCTCCTGCATCCTCCACATCTCCTGGTAGCACCTCCATGCTCTGGACACTACGCTGATAGGCACAGCAAACCTTGCCACACCTTGCATTGATGCGCCATCCTGGGTGAGATGCACCACCTGAGCCTCTTGTGTGGGTTGTAGACTCCATCTCATGCTACCAGCAGCAGTGTTTAGAGCCACCCCGACCAAAATGGCAGACCCGGGAGTGTCTCACGCAGGACATTTTTATTTGGCAGACGCTTTTCTCCAAAGTGACTTACAATTTATAACCTATAGGGCATGTTGTGATCTGTGGGGGAAACCGGAGTACCCGGAGGAAACCCACGCATGCATGGGGAGAACACGCAACTCCACGCAGAAAGGCCGCAGCCGAGTTTCGAACCTGCAACCTTCGTGCTGCGAGGCAACAGTGCTAACCACGTACAATGTCCTCACGGGCTTCAGATTTGTTTTACAGTAGGTATTGTAGTGACCTCTGACCTTTGCATATTATACATATTTTATTGCAACAATAATCTGTTAAAATAATTAGAAAAAAGAACCATCAATGTGCTTTTTTGAAATTTTCAGATAAAGAGGAATAGACAGTCCCTCTGCTTAGAAAATAAACCTACAGAATTTATCAGGAAACTATTAGAGATCAATTGATTATTAATTATGAAACATCTGAATAAATATGAAACTATTTCTAAATGTTGCAGAGGTCCGTAGGGGTTAATCTACTCTAATAGATCGCTGCTGAGGATAAATGTGTCTGGTCTTAAGTTGCCTCGCGTTTGTAATGCAGCTGTTTCAAGCCTCCGGTGTGCAGATCTCAGAAGAAGCGCTCCTGGAGGCACTCGCTGGAGATCAGAGACCATATCTGAGGGATTATTGAAAAAAATATAATGTTTGTGTCACAGAATCAGAGCACGTTTTCAACCGTCAGTTTGTGGTTTTCTGGAGGTTTGTTTTGTTTTGGCAAGATCAGAGAAGAGGCACGTCAGCCATATTGTCTGACGATTTAAAGGCTTTCACCGGACAATTAAAACACATCGGTAATGTCCAACTGGCCGACGAGTCGTCACTAACACCGCCAGTAGAGCGAAAGCACCACCAACGTTCAAAATTGCCACAAACATCAGCCAGAAAGCAGAGGAACTGAGAAGTGGTCTGTGGTCACCACCTGCAGAACCATTCCTTTATCGAGGATGTGTTGCTAATTGTCTATAATTTCCACCTGTGGTCTGTTCCATTTGCACAGCAGCAGGTGAAACTGATCGTCAGTCAGTGTTGCTTCCCTAGTGGACAGTTTGATTTCACAGAAGACTGATTGGCTTGGAGTTGCGTTGTGTAAGCGTTCCCTTTAGTTCTGGGAGCGGTGTCCATGTGCATTAGAACAAGTGGAGCTGGAACACGTGTGGAGGAGGTTCACGTTTCACCATTTTAACCAACTCCTCTCTGCTGATCTTTAATGTGGGAGTGACATTAACACACACACACACACACACACACACACACACACATACACATGCACACAGGCACGAACACACACACACACACACACACATGCACACACATACACATGCACACAGGCACGAACACACACACACACACATGCACACACACACACACACACACACACACACACACAGACACGAACACACACACACACATACACGAACACACACACATGCACACATACACGAACACACACACACACACACGAACACACACACACACACACACACATACACGAACACACACACACACACACGAACACACACACATACACACACACACACACACACATGCACACATACATGAACACACACACATGCACACATACATGAACACACACACATGCACACATACATGAACACACACACACACACACACACACACACATACATGAACACACACACACACATACATGAACACACACACACACATACACGAACACACACACACACACACACACACACACATATACACGAACACACACACACACACACACACGAACACACACACACACACACACACACACACACACACACACACAGCTGGAGTGACAGCGCTTGCATGGACAGATACATCAGACATGCCCTCCTGCTATGAGCACAGAAGGCTAAAGTTAAGGCTGGGGCGAGATCTCTTCATTTAAAGCCCATTAGACAAAGTGATTTTAATTTGTTTTAACCTTTTCAAACGTACAAAGGCTCATTTAATTTTGACCAAAACTGATGAGATGGCACTGAATCAATGAAATCACCTGTTTTTGTTCCACTTACCACAACTTTCTCGCCAGCCACAGCACCTGCTCTCCCGCTCTCCCCACCACCGCCCTGCCCGCCGTCCTCCAGCCTTCTCTTGCTCGTATATTGCTGTATCCATTTCAGGCCTGCCTGGAGGTTGATCCTGTCGCAGTAGATTGTGGGGGATATGTGTTGGTAATTTGATTTGGTCTCCTCAGGACTCGAGTGAATGAGCAGCCTCTGTGAACACAAAAGCCGAACACAGACCCCGTACAGAAGGAGAACTCACGTCAGGCTGGAAGAAAAGGTCAGACCCAAACAGTCAAATTAATGCGACCCAACTGGGTTCATCTCATTAACCAAATAGCTTTCTCAGGCAAAATAAAGACCTGTTGAACCTGGCGTCTGCCACCGTACGAGGTAAGTACTGGGACGGCGTGTACCAACCTAATTATGGCTTTTCTTGTGTAACATCAGGAACTTCAGTCCCAACATGACTTTTTTCAAAGCGAGCCGTGATTGGGCCTCATTAGCGTGCACACGTTTTGAGAATGTTACCAAAAAGGAACAAATCAAAGTTGGTTTGACCTCACGCTCCTATAGAATGGACTTTCCCGCCCACAACAACAGGATACCTGGGTGTGCATAGGTGCTCCTTTGACCTGCCTTCGTCCTGCGTGACGAACGTTGATGCAGGCACTCAAAGGTCAACACGGTTTACACGAACACCCGCTTACATCCGAGAGGAGCACAAAACATTCCCAGAACTTCAGATCAAGACGTATTACTCCAGTAAACGGTGCTGCTTTGCATACCTCACATGCCTCCAAGATAAATCAAACCAAAAGGTCTGACGCTAAACTCTAGATCCTCATGGTTTTATTATCCTCGGGGTCTTGAACATGATTTTGTGCACTGATTTAGTGTAACATTAGAAGCACTTGACAAAAGATCTGAGCCTTTCCACTCAGAAAATATCATTTTTAGCAATGCTTGGCAGCATGACAAAACGTCTCCTCCCCGAGGAGATAGTCCAGCTGCTCTGTGAGGAGAATACATGCATATTTCATTACTACTCACTGCGTGGGCTTTGGACTTCTGTAGATTCTTTAGTCATATGAGTACATACATCTCTGCAACACACACACACACACACACATCTTGCAACCCCCTTGACTCTTGCAGGCCTGAGCCTGGCAGCCGGTCTTCTTCAGTTCTTCAGGGAGTTCCTCCGAACCTCATTGTTAGGTTTCCTCGCTGCACCAGACGACACCTTTGTTGATTTTCTCTCTTCTATTATTCTCTCAGGAAAGTGATTGTTCCTAATTTCCCACGCGATGGTTTATAGGAACAGAGAAAGTCCTGGCGAGGCCAAAGTTCGAGGTGCTGCATGAAAAACTGCTTGTCCAGCAGCGGTATCTGCACCAGTATCTGCCGCCCCAGGGTCTGTTTTTCTCCTCCAGTGTTTTGAATGTTTCACATCTCTGTGTTTGATTCTTTTCCAGATGGCGTCTTCTCCTGTGCAATAATCACGGACGGGTCAGCCCGAGGCTGTCAAAAAGACATTTGTCTTTCACTTGCCAAATATGGTGTGGAAGTGTTTATATTTTCCAAACTTACTGGCTTGGCTCTGTGCACTCTGTGGCGTAAAGGAAAGAAGGTGGTTTGTCCGTGTTACTTCTAAGAACCGGCGTTATTTATGTGTGA